CTAATTAAAAAGTCAGCGACACAGATGGCGAATAAATGTCAGCCAACAAAAGTATCGCATGTCGCGTCGCTGGCGCTTGTCACGTTTTATGTTACTGTTTACACAACCTGTCCATTATGAATACGATATAAGGAATCATGGGTTTTTCAAACAGAAAACGTCCATTGAAAAGAAGAACATATTTAGTAAGTACCTTAAAAATATCACAGCGAGGGATAACATTTATATGATGTGAGTAATATATATAATTATGTATATATTACGTCGGAAAGTGATGAAATTAAAAATATAAGCCAATGTAAGTATGCGTAAAGGTGTAAAACAAGCAAATGTAATGTAGGCTATTATGATAGAACTCAGTTAACACGAACTTTAATCAAATTTGGCGTATTCTCTAGTATGTAAAGAAAAATAACAGTCTTTTCATGTCCCACTGCTTCCACATGTTCCCAAATTTAATCATTCTAGGTCAACGGGAACTACCATATAGGTTTTCGACCAAAAACCTATAAGGGTACTTCCGGTATCTTTTTATCGTGTTGACTCAGGACAAGAACCTGAGAAAATCGGAGGTGATTTTTAATCAATTTTATTATGGCGGTATAATGGGTAGGTACGGAACCCTCGGCGTACGAGTTCGACTCACACTTGGTTTTTATCTTGGATTATAATGTACGGTACATTAAAATCTTGTTTGAATGATTTTGTCATTTTAAATTGCAGTAATTAAATAAATATAATAATTAAATAATATAATAATTAATTTGTGTAACCCTTATAACATGTTCAGTTTTGCGCTCCCAAAGTGGGTGATTTTTGTCCTGCGGGAGGAAGCTTCATCGGTCAAAGTACACACGAAAATAGCAAGGTTTACGCTGGTTTTCTGAAACTAGAAAAGAGCACAGGTGTGTCTGCGTAACTTATACCGATCATAAGCTGGTAGCGATGTGAGCTACCCTGAAGCGTGTACGTAGTATATGCGCTGTGGATCTGTTTGCTCTAGCTACAAAGGCTATTTTTTTCAGGTGTATTGGCAAACCTTCACCTTCACCCTTTATGCAGTCCATAGGTTAATGACGCGGTTTTTCCCAAATAATTACAGCCTACTTCATTTCAACTGATGTTCCAGTGTTCACTCCGTTAAAGCTTGTCCGCTATGCTCATGGCTTTTTCGGAGTCATTAAAGGATAGTGTAGCGCTATTAGGTCGATTTAAAAGTGGTAAGGATTCGAAGGACCCTGCTTTCCAAATGGCCAACTGCCACTGGCCAACTGCAACTGTGTGCGATGACTCGAGATTTTCAAGTAGAGCACTCCACGTGGTCTGACGGTGTTCCGATACATAATCTATGACTACAAGAAGGTGATTTGGGTCCGATCGAAGACCCAATTAGCTGCTTTTTGTTCCCTAATCAGTCGTCGGAGACATGGGATAGAGAAGAACATACGGATAAATATATTAAACAGGACAGTGGTAACCGTGAAAACACGACACTGACACCCGATTCATGGGTATTTTGGGAAGTCTATCACTTTCAAAAGGTAAGTATATATGTTTATCGCCTAGTACTATAAATGCTTGATTTCAAGTCCGTAATTTACGGTCCATAAACTATGCTCAAACCATATGAAAATTAGTCTATCTGGCAAATTGGGACTTATTAATTTGTAACAAACGCTTTTACCATATTTTAGCAAAAGTTTTTACGCCTATAGAGTAACGGGCATCTGGAATGAATTGTCTACCCAGACTCAAATTAAAAATGATAAATTTTATAAGTCATAGACATTATTAAGTTGAACAGTCTCAATTATGTCTAATCCAATCAGCCTTTTGCAGTCCACTGCTGGACATAGGCCTCCTCAATTATGTAAATCAAAAATATTTTATAGTCGAATCTCATATAAATCATACCAATAAAAGATGTGGTAATGCGACCGCTGCACTGTAGCACTTATTTGACGAAAAATATTTTTTCCTCAGCTATACCTACTATCGGTCAGCTTAAATAAGAACGGATCAATTTTAGATTAAATGTTTAGTGCTAGTTTTTCTTTTATAACACTTTAGCGCGTTAAACAGGACCAGCTTTCTTTTCTATAAAATCCTTAGGCTAAACATTCTTTAATTAGGTAATCCATACACTGGCAGGTAAATCATTTCTATTGATCTCGTTGGATGGAAGTAATGTGTATGTTTCGTGTTTATTTAATTATGAAGGAATCCGTGTGAAGTAGTTCGGCGATTTGTCGGCGCTGATGTTGAGACCGAGGCGTAATAAGAAAAAATCGACCACACACGCGTTAAATATTGCCCACACTACGGCTTAGTTGTTTTGCTACTTTTCATGCGTTATTACATTTAAAAAATACAACATATTCATTAAATTTTGTTGTAAAGATATAGTATATATGTTTAAACCGGGGTAATCGAATAAAAATCTTTATTTGCTACCATCCATTTTTTTAAATGTAGTTCAAGCCTTTACTACATCTACCTAAAGCTAAGTTATGTAAAAGATCAGTTACTACGTTGTAAACGCTAAATTATTTTACACAGTTTAATGCAACTGCTTATAACTTCGGATGGCGGTACTTTTTATTTACATTATATATTATATATTTTTTTTAAAGGGCAAGCGGTTAAAATTCCATATGATAAAGAAAGGACAGCCGAATGTCCATTAAAACTCACAACACCGAGTATTGCAGACGTGTTGTCGATCAACCGAAGTGCGAGCCACTGGTTAATTATTTTGAAACTATGCAGGTTTCCCAACAATGTTTTTCTTTACCTCTGAGCGCTTGATAAATAAGCACATAAAATTGCAATTAATTTATTTGAACTCTAGTTGCTTGACTATATTGATATAAAAGGATTTCCATTTCCTTTTAGTTCAATAGCTCAAGTTCAGGCCAACTGAGTATACCGTACACTGAGCACAGTTCTCCTAATTTGACAAAAATAAACAAATAAATATTATTGCATAATATATGCGACTTAAATATATTTAAATCTATTGATGTTATGTTTTGTTCAAGTGAGCTTTCAAAGTATCACGATTAAGAAGCCGTGCTAAGCTAAAACAGTGGCGCTAAGCGACCGCGTGTGTCTTGTCGCGTAACAATAATAAAATATCCATTAGCTGCAGTGTTTTCTGTGTTTTAAATAGTAAATTCGTCGATGTTATTTTACGATGTTCATATGTTTTAGAAACCAATTCTAGAAAGTTGATTCAATGCTTCAAAAAGAAATAGTTAAAAAAATACCAATCCACCAAAACTATAATATGATAGTGAGGTAATTGTCATATTTAAAGTTAATTATGATTGTTCTTTTAATATTATAGCAGTTTTTCCACCACAATTATAGTCGTCCTTTGAAGCAGTTGATAGCAGTAAACAATGATCATAAATGTCGTTCATTTACTTAAATGCCGTTTTGAATACAAAATGTTACTGGAATTGTTGGTTTAATAAACATTTACATGGTTCTGTAGATGCTATTTTTTACTTATAAGCTTTGGCCATACAGTGAATACTCACTCTCTTTTTGAGGAAGTAATCATATGAAGAATTATAATTTCCTTACTAAGGAATAAAATGTTTGTGTATCTTTAGGTAACATTATAAAACAATTTCGCACCGTGTGTAGAATAACGTTATGTGGTCACATAGAACGAATTTGATTTTATCGTCGGAAATTCTTAATTATTGTCTACGCTTTCATATAATTTTTTTTCGTCTGACTTATAGATATTGAGATTCAGAATAGAACAACGTTCTATCTGATTTGTGCTCCGCAGTACAAGGACATATGTACGTTTAGACACTGTTTTGTTGTACTGACTAGACAAAGCTTACTAATGTTATAGACGAGTGTAAAATACTTTATTGGAGTCAATTGATAATTATGGCACAGTCACCCACCTTTTTATGAATTTTTGGTTGAAAACAGTGCTACATGCGTTTATGTCATACATATTTTCTGAATACAGTTTTTGCCAATTTCCGTAGGAAAACGTCACTATTGTACATGAAACCTCTTATTTCCTAAATGTATATAATTATTTATTCAAAAAGTATACCGTTTGTTTACATACCTAATCATATTACAAAACTCAAAAATTGTAATAGCAACTGCTATGTATAAGAAAACTATAACCAAAATAAAAAAAAAATATAATTTGAATCGGCCGTCCTGAACAATTACAATTTTGCAGATATGTATACACGTTGTTCTACGCAGGGTGCGATTTGGTCATAATTTATGAAAAAACTTTTTAATTTTTATTTTTATTTTGTGGAACCCAAAATGTAATTATCAGAAGATTTCCATTATAAGCCAGCATTTGTTAAAAACGTACTAATGTGTTGGAAAGAGTTCAAGCATAAGCTTATTGCAATCTTATTTAAATTAAACAATAATTCCATTCAGTGATATTCGTAAGGATGATAATAAGTTCAACATTTTTACCCATTGAAATGTTACTTCAGATTATTTTAAAAACATATTTTGAATCTTCATATTGTGTCGCTTTCGTTTGTGAAGAATCTTTTCTTTTTGTTTATAATAAAAGTTTCGTTTATTTAAACCCACAAAATAATGACATAACTCATTTATTACTAGAGGTCTCTGAAATGGGCTGTTTAGACTATGTAGTTAGAATGAAAGACCCTCACAAGTTTATGACGACATTTGATAAAATAGTACACTTGGGAAATACAAGAAAAAGTGACAGAAAGATAATACTTTTGCCCGTTTTCTATCATTACAACATTACTGAGAACTTGCTGAACGTGTTGACAATGGAGGAATCGTTATTTGTTGCAAATATTCTTATCATAGCGCCGTCAATGAACGACAAATGCTACGAAGCATACGACTTAATAACCCATAAATATGTTGGTCGATCTAACCACGGCTGGCCTCTATATTTAGACCATTGGAACCCTTGTACGGAAAAGTTTAACAGTAACGCAAATTTGTTTCCCCATTCAATGTCTAATCTGTACGGAAAGGTAGTAAAAGTGTCTTGCTTCACCTATAAACCATATGTATTGTTAGATTTGAATCCTGCTGTGGTGCCTTACGGTCGAGACGGAATGGAGATAAGGATTGTGGACGAATTTTGTCGGTGAGTAAAATTTTGTTGTTGTTTATTGCAATTTTAAATGCTGACTTACCACGTTGTTATCGGTGAAGGAAATTCTAAGGAAATATTTGTATTTTCGAAATAATAATAATAATAACCCCTTCGAAATAACAATGGGAAATAAGGTAACCCACGGTGAGGTGACGTGGTGGACTATACCTAATATCTTCTGCTGTACAAAGGAAGTCTTTGGCCAGTTTTCGGAAATATTATATGCTATTATTTTACTTTACTAATAATGCATAGCACTAATAACTCCTGTTTTATTCAGGTGGATTAATTGTTCAATAGAAATAGTTCGGGACGATGAGTACCAGTGGGGAGAAATTTATTCCTATGAGAATAGAACAGGAGTAGGCGTATTAGGTAGTATGGTTGAAGATCGTGTCGACTTTGGAATCAGTACGTTTTATTCGTCGTTTTTTATTTGCGATATCAGCCATGTGTTGACTTCACGTTAATGCATTTGATGTAACGTTTCATCTTTTTAAGATTTAAACCTAAATCTTTCCCACTCTAGCTGTAAATGTAAAAGTTCAAAATATACCTGAGTATCAGAGTATAAGATACCATAAATTATAAAAATGTTAATATATGTTCAATTTGACAATTTGAAATAAATTCGTTATTTTTTTTTTACTGTAGCGGCTTTGTATTCTTGGTACGAAGAATTCCTGGCACTCGATTTCTCCGCTCCTTGTATAAGAACAGGCATTACTTGCATTGCTCCAGCACCACGGTAACCTTTTTGTTATATATACCCTTAACCGTTCTTTATCGACATTTTAAGTGGAATCTCTGTTAGCGTCTCTAACTTTTTTGACTTTTGCCTTTTGATGTTAATTGAATTTTGTCCAATCATGTTGCCATTTCTATTTTAACCTCTTTGTAGGCTTCACGGGTTTCAGAAATTTTGAGTCAGAATTTAGGCTTTTGAAAGTAAAACCTCAACTTTTTATATTGTTTATAGACTGCATAGTCTAGAAAATATATAATTAAAACATAAGAATACTGACTGATGATAGGGCCACGAAACAGCCTTCGTTGTTGCAGGAATGGGCAGTTCCGTCCGGGTAATTACTACGACCTCACAGAAGACCGGCGTGAAGTGGAAGTGTTATACTTCCGGGTTTCGTCTGGTGAGTGAGGTAGCTGGGGCCCACTTTATTAAAAGGTGGCAACGCATCTGCAGCCCTGCGGTGTTGCAAATGTCAATAGACGGCGGTTATCTCTTAAGGTGAACCACCAGCTCACTTGTCACTTTCTCACACACACACAAAAAAAAGAATAAATTGCTAAAAGTGATAATCGATCAACAATATCATTCCTTATAAAAAGACCGGCTGTTTTGTTGTATTAAAAATATGTTACATTATTACAGGATGTTAGCGAGCTGGGAAACACCGTTTCTGCCTTTTAGCTTATATCTTTGGATTGCGATAATATTCACATTTCTATACGCGTCTGTCGGACTGGCCATCGCTCAAAGGTGTTCTACAAGGAATGTTTTACTTACCACTTTCGGGATGATGATAACCCAGGTAAAACTTTCTTATAAATCTTATCCTTTAAACGAGCAATTCTTGTATATATATATATATAATCGGAATCTCGGAAACGGCTCCAGTGATTTTCATGAAATTTAGTATGTGCGTAGATTCGGGGGCGAAAAATCGATCTAGCTAGGTTTCATTTTTAGAAAATGTCCCTTTATCCCTATTTTCAGGGAATGTAAAATATCATTCGAATATGACGGTAAGTTTCGCCGCAAAAGAAAATGTCATAATAGCTCGGTCGGTAATCGGGCGGCCCCAAAACAGACGGCCGTGGTTCGCGTCACGATGATTTACACATTTATTTTTTTACTTTGTTTTCGATTCCAGATCATTACTTTCTTTATTTTTAATTTTTTTGTCGATTTGTTATTTTGTTACTTTTTTTTAAAGTTGTTTCTTTTGTGAAAAACGCCACTTCATATTTTCTTATTATTAGGTCGGTAAGATCGAAAAATATTACGCATATTTCATTACTCAGTAATTTGTATCTAAATGTAATTTCCAAAACACACGATTTACCAAAAAAAAAACAAACCGAGCAAAGCTCGGTCCTCCGGGTACTATTATTTAAATAAACTGGCTGGTGACAAGAGAGCTGGTTCTTTTCTCGCGCAAAGGTTGAGCATAACTATTCAGCGAGGAAATGCAGCTAGCGTTCTTGGCACCATGCCGCGTGGATTAGGTTTATTAGATAATATGTAATTTTAGATAGATTTAATCTTGTAAATATTAGATCAATAAACTACTAAATAATACCGTAGCACCTTATATTTTCGTGTTTATTTAATCCAACTCATATATTATGTTTATTTATTTGTAATATAGGACAAACAAACATATCGATAAAGACCCGATTAAAAAGCCACATAGCTTCAAGCGCTAAGTGTAGTCTGGATATGTCTCCGGTTTCTTATCACATTTTAAATCGCCCCAACCATTAAATAAGAGTCCATATTAGCAAAATTACGACGAAAATGACAACGATTTCTTCCAAGAATGATCCGCAAACCAATTGGAATAAAGAAAAATTCTAACTTCAATAGAGTAGATGTTCGGGTGTTATTACATGGTATAGAACATTGATACATACTTCGAGTTCTTTACACGTAGATATATTAGAATAAAATAATTGAAAGAAGCCCGGATAAGGGATTATCTCTGAAATTGAAATGCTAAACAAGTCTGCCGGTCTGGTCACCACAAATTCTATAGTGTTTGGAACTTCGGAAATTAAAAAACAAAATAAAACCTAAAAATGTCTGTGATATCTTTTTATGTGGAAATATTTTGTGTGAAATATTTTTATATGCAAGCCAGTTCAAAATTCGACCTCTGAGTTGAAGTGCAAAATATAAATAAATTCTAGTGTGTTTTTTTTTTTGTTTCTTATTATAACCAGACACAAAGCGACGTTGGTAGCTCGTGGAGAATTCGGCTTATTACGGGTTGGCTTTTGATAACTGGATTAGTATTGGACAATGCGTATGGAGGGGGATTGGCCTCTTCATTCACGGTACCTAAGTATGAAAAATCAATTGACACAATAAAGGATATCGTTGATAGGAGCATCGAATGGGGTGCAACGCATGACGCTTGGATATTCTCATTAGCTTTATCACAAGAGGTAAGGCAAAAAATATTTAATTGTTTTTAATAAATTCCTTGTGGTTAGTTATATTTGAATTCAACTGTTATTTTCAATTTGTAGCAAGGACTCTTTTTCGTACATAACGTTTTCTGTTTTAGCCTGTAATTAAAAAATTAGTGAGTCAGTTTAAAAAATACTCATTTGAGGAGTTACAACGTAAAAGCTTCACCAGAAGCATGGCGTTTAGTATTGAAAAACTACCGGCAGGTATGTTAAAAATGTATGAAAGTAGGTATTCATAATTCGATTCAAATAAGAGTAGGATGACCTCGATTGACCGCGATCTGTTAGCTGTCATTTGTCAAAATACTACTTGTGAAGAATATCAATATGCCATTAATCAAAGAAGAAGAAGAAGAAAAAGAATATCAATATTCCACTTTTTAAATTTAAAACCTTTTTTATTATATATTAATAAAACGTATAACTAGATCTATTGAAGTCATTATGAGTTTTAAATGTTTTTTTCTATTATAAACAAGTATGTCAACTGTGGTAGAGCCACGCAATAGTGTTTGCTGTTGCACGAATGGGCAGGTCCGTCCGGGTAAGTATCGTGACCTCACAGAAGACTGGCGTAAAGTGGAAGTATTATTATACTTCTGCGTAGAGATGGGTCGTATCGCTTTTTCTGAGTACCGTATCTGAATCAGATTTCGATTTCAAATATCAGATTTCGAAACTATGTATTTTAATATCTAGATATTTTACGGTCCCGTATCCACCTTGAATTCTAAAAAAAAAACAAAAAAAATGTTTTCAATAATTATTTACATTCCTCCGGGTTTAAATTTATTTATTATGTTTATATGTTTCGAATTTATTTACTCCTAAATCAATTCGAAAACCCACTGAAATTGACTAAATTCAAAAAACTTACTGAATTTAAAATCACGATTTTTTTATACTATTAAGGTAAAATTAAAACATTACCTGATTAAATTAAAAATTTCATAAAAAATACAAATTGAAGTAATATAAAAATGATTTATTTTAACATCTTATATATCGCTTAATAATTGATTTAAACATATTTTTAGAACACACAATCATGAGTGACATTCACATTCACATTCAGTATTATAACTTAGGGCGGAAGAATTTAAAATATACACACAAAGCACATAAGCCTTGGTCTGATTTCCACCCAAGCAGCACAGCACTATTAAATTATATTTTTCTTTTTGTGTACTTTTATTTTTTTCCAAAAATATGAATAAAATTTAACTAATAAAACATATTCACAAAAAAATTTACCTCCTAAAAAATTTCCATTGTATATTTTTCTTCCTTAATTCAGGCAGAAAATTCTTAAGTAGTAAGTTTGCATCCCTTACTATTACGTGCTAGGTACCAATGCAATCCAGCTCAAGGCTAAACAAAATTTAAAGACATCGTTAATACCGTAATTCGTATTTAAATGCAACAAAGTTTTTTTCCATGCTGTTAAGATTCAAAATTACTTAACTGCGCGCTTTGTCGTCCGTTACGGCTCAAGGCTAAACAAAACAATAAAAATATACTAATATCGTTGTAGTAATCGTTGATACCATGATTAGTATTTAATTGAAACGGATCTTATTTGCATGGTGTTAAGAATCAAAATTACTTATTTTATTCATAATATCTGTTTAAAAATCTGATATTGTGCCTTGCTTGCCCTACTGCTCTAACTAGTGTAGGTAATATTTGTATCTCACGCGCTTTGTCACTCAAAATCTGATATCGTGCATTGCTTGCCGTCCCGCTCTAACTAGTGAGTATTTATATCTCACGCGCTTTGTCTCTCGAAATCTGTTTAAAAATCTGATATCGTGCATTGCTTGCCGTCCCGCTCTAACTAGTGAGTATTTGTATCTCACGCGCAAATCAGATATTGTGGCAAACGCGTATGATATCGCGATTCGTGTCGGTATAGCCGAGCGAGCACGGTACATCAGATTTCGGAAATATCAGATATTGTAAAATACATAGATATTGAACGAGCCAGTAAGCGATATTCGGATATTGTACTAATATCTAGTTTTAATATCTGATACGATTTGTATCGCCCACTTCTACTTCTGCGTTTCGTCTGGTGGGTGAGGTAGCCGAGGTCCTCTTTATTATAAGGCAACGCATCTGCAACTCTACGGGCAATGCAAATGTCCACGGGCGGCGGTTATCACTTAACATCGGGTGAACCGCCAGCTCGTTTGTCACTTTCTCGCATAAAAAAAATGCCCATTTTTTTAAATGTGTGTCGGTGCAATATTTTAAATACCTATTGCTTAGTGGTATCATGATAAAAAACCACACCTTTTCTGTTGATCAATTCCGATTGTTTATTCTTAATTTCTTGCTTAAGTCTCATCAGTTGTTGGTAGCAGCGATCCGAATCGATGGTTTTATACAGCTTTGTGTATCGTTCTTGCGTTCTTGCTGTGTTTTTTGCTGTACTTGTTTTCTTTATTTCAGCTTTTGATATAATCTTAATTGCACTTAATTATGAGTACTGAACTCGGAAATGTACAAAAACTCGTATTAACAAGTTATCTTAAATTACAGGTTATTATGCGATCGGCGAGTATATAACGGAAGAGGCTGTTTTAGATTTAACAATAATGTTGGAGGATTTTTATTACGAGCAATGTGTGATCATGCTGCGGAAAAGTTCCGCATACACGAATAAATTGAGTCAGTTAATAGGTAGACTACATGAATCCGGTCTCTTACTGGCATGGGAAACACAGGTTGCATATTTTATTGAAATTTCTGAAAATACTATGATGAATACTATTTTTCAATGATCTTGTAACTCTGTCTTTCTTGATCCATCGCGTTTTTCAAGAGAAAGTGCCTTATGATCAAATCAAGTTTTTCTAATGAGCTAGTTGATAAGCGCTGACTATAGACATCAAGCAACCCGATATGGATTATTTAGAGTTGCTACTTGCACATGTTATGTGGATTCTCTAAACGATGTCTATAAGAATGAATAATAATTGACATTCTAGTTCTAGGTATTCTTGTCTTCAGTTTAGAAGCCAGTGTGTCGTTATATAATAGAATATAATATTTCCCAACATCATTTTCACATATAAGAATAAATAACGATTTTAGTTTGTTGTTATAGGTGGCTTTGCAGCATTTGAATTACAAAGTCCAACTGGAGGTAAGACTTTCTAGATCCAAAAAGGATGTTGATAAGGTGGAGCCACTGGCTTTGAGACATGTCTTGGTAAGATATGGTGCTTAATTTTCTTGTAAGGGTTACGACTATCCTATATACCTACTAATTCCTAATTATACAATAAGTCCCCGTAACATAATAGATAAATACCCTATATGTATCGGTGCGTACTTACTATTTATACATATAGATAGCGCTTTTTACTATTTATCATAAGACATTTAATTAATTACATTCAATTATAACATGACTTTTTGCAGGGAGTTTTTATATTGCTTGGGATTGGAGTCGTTATCTCAAGTATTTTTCTTATTGTGGAAATTCTCAACAAGAAATCGAAATTTTTTAAATCATCTATACCTTAATTTTAGTGTCGATTCAAATAATTTTATTATTTAAGCAGTGTTTATGCTTTCCAATGAAAAACATTATTTATCGTACTATGTAAGTATTGGTAGACCTCGTACGTGCGGCACCTTTATTGTTGCATGCCCATGCTACTCGACCTTCCATATCGCTTATTCTTGACACATAATTTCAAAAAAGCTAAGCGTAACAACTATGCAACCACGGAGTAATGTAGGGCCGCGGGGCGGTATAAATTATCTGGAGATCTATCAATAGAGAATGGCGTAATTCAGACAAGATGACCCACGTTAATCCCGGCGAGCTTACAACGTCCACAGTTAAGGAAAATGTCAGTAAAGAATGTTAACTCATATTGGTAGACCGGAGTTTGATTATCAAGGAGATTGATGACACTATATGTATATCGAATGAATGAAAATATTCAGTAGTAGTTCCGTAGTGATGACCTACGGGACTAACACGTGGTCCTTCCGTGCTGGCCGTATGAGAAAGCTCAAGGTGGCTCAGCGACCTATGGAGCGGGCGGGCTATGTTTGTTATTTATCTGCATAGTAGAGTTCGCAAAGATGATATCCACCGTAGAACAAAGATAACCGACATAGCTCAGAGGATTATAAAGCTGAAGTGGCGATGGGCCAGCCATATATCTAGTAGAACCGATAGCCGATAGTGAAGAAAAATTCTTGAGCGGCAGCCTCGCATCCTTAATCATCGATCATCCTGGCCATCGCAGTGTAGAACGACCTCCTACGAGATGGAGTGACGACCTGTACAAATGTGCGGGAAGTCGATGCATGCAGGTGGCTCAGGATCGTACTTCGTTGCAGTCTATGGGGAAGTCTGTTTTCAGCAGTTGATTGAATAGGTTGAAATTATGAGATCCCACGAACTTGATATGACTTTCAACACCAGGCTGGGCTGCGCATATGCTCATTCATGCGGTATCATCTGAGAGAGCAATTATCGGGCCATCGTGGTTTGGTGCAGACCGTGGCTCAGGAGGCCGTTGACTGTGTAAATCTTTCGTTGGCAGTGATTTGTTTGCTGAGAACTGACCTGGAACACGGGTGTCCCTTGTCTACGTATGGTGTTAGTTTCACCGTGCTTGTAGGATGAACAATAGTCCCACATAACCAAATTTAGCTATGTGTGCAAGTACTGTGTATTAATAATGTTGCATAGGTGGGACCACGTGTGTTTATTGAAATATAAATAAAAATTAAATTTCGTTTAAAGATTTTTGAATCACATTTGTTGAAAATTAAACTTTCTCCTTAATTATAATTTTAATTAACTAAGAAATTTTAAATTACAGTTGTCTTGAAATTGAAACAAACTAGTTTTAAAAAAAGTGAAGCAGTTATTAATCTTGTTGTAGGAGTCCAATGATTAATCTGACCAAATGTCTCACAAGAAAAGTAGTCAGTTTAAAATACATCAAGCTTCAAGTAACAACACTCAGCTACATTTGAAATTACTGTAACATGCGTTTTGTACATAGGTATCTTTTAGATAATTACATGCATGATCCAGTCTCAAATATGTAAATATGACCGAATACTGAGTACTTAAGACATTTTAGTGTAGAAAGATAATAATTAGTAAATGGAAAAGGTTGATTTATAACAACATATTTTTTTAATTAATAAAGTAGTCATAAATATTGGCATTTTTATTATCATAAAGTTTAGATGTGGAAGATTTTGGTACAGACTAATATTTCTAAATTATTTAAAAATAGTTTATTCCTTTTCATTACACACAAAACTTAGACATTTTATCAACATCATCCACAGAAAAAATTTCTTTTTATCATTATCTACAATTTGGTTTAGACCTAATAAACTAAACATATCAACATAAGCAACAAGATCTCATAAGGGAAAAAGTGTACATTTAAACTCGAGCAGTTATACTGTTTGTTGCAAGTCTATTGTAAGTATATCATGCACTGTAGCAGAAAGACTAATATTTTCATCTTTAACCTTCTCAGGATACATACACATGCTACTGAAGCATGTGTATGTATCCTTTTTTGAATGTTAAGAGCATAAGATGCATTACAATTGTTTTGATAATGTCAAAGTGACCATACCTATGAATAGTTAAAGTATAACATAGATAGATTAGAAAAACTTAAAAACTATAACAGTTCATAAATAAACTTGAGTTAATTGATGGGATTAATGACTCCATGGTGCAGTTGCCAAGATATTGACTTCGGCATCAGGGATCGTGGGTTCTATTCCCACAAGGGACAACTATTTGTATGACCCACAGATAGATGTTTCTCATCTGGGTGTTTGTCCAGATGAAATCCTTCCTTACAACAGAGGATATCCTAAAGTAAGGACAAAGTATTATATCTAAAAAAAAAAAAAAAAATTATCTCATTGCAGCCTTACCGTTAATTACTACAATACTAGATTTTTAAGGGGAAAAATCAAAGAATGTCAGCTAAAAGTAGAAATTAAAAAAAAATGTTTTTAGCGTTATGGCGTCTAATACTCTGGTTGTTTGTTTAAAATTAAATAAAATCAATTTGCAACAATGCCTAAATGTTGTATTATGAGATGTGGTGTAAGGAAACGTACAAATCGGAATAATATAACACCATTCAAAACATTCAAATATGGAAAAGTTCTGTGGTAGGAATTGACATAAATATTGCAAAAATAGGTAATTGTTTTTCAATATTTATCCTCATAAACTGCATCTCCCCATGTTGAAACTTTGTGTGTGCACTTCAAAATCAATATCATTTATTGATCGATATCAGAAACTTACATTTCATATCAAAGAGAATGTAATCACTACGCTTATTTCATATCTGTTTGTTTCATATATCAATAGCCATCTTTTTTTAAATCTATCACCGTTACATAGTGAGGTTACTTTAGCGGAGAAGAAACAGGCGATAGAAACTCCGTACAATAACAGCTTATAAATGTTACCTTTCTATAAAAAAATATCAACCCTCCGCCCAACTTGACGGATATCAATAGAAAACTGATTATTATTTTGTCTGTTGCCTTATTCTATAAAAATAGCAAAAAAAAAAATAAGCAAACTGATAATGGACAACACATGATGGATGTCTAAGGTGCTAGCATGGTGATCATAACTGACAATGTAGCAACACATTGATTGAAGAGTGAACTGAAGACTTTAGTCTTCATATATCGAGGGGCATTCGATGAGAAGATATGCCGCAGTTTCTCTAGCACTGCCTACCCACGTTACTGCATAGAAAACTTGTAGAACTTCATTAAAATCTGAAGTACAACATATCGTACGGTTGTTCTCTGACTGTCATTAATATTAACAAAAAAAATAGGAATTAAATCTCCATTAAAAGACCGATAGAAATACATACACTAAACTTTTAAAAACCTACATAAACAAAAACCACGGAGTTCTTTTTTAATTTTCCAATTTTCTAATCGATTAACTTAATATCGATTAATTTTCTAAACGTAGTCATTACATTCTCTTTGCGATTAACCGATAGATGTGTTGTATGGTGTAATGGTGTTGTATGAAACTTTATTTATTTTATTTTATTTATTTATTTTTATCTGTCAGTGTCAGCGTGAACTGTCATGTCAGGTCAGGTGCTGCTAGCAGTTAAAAACTGTTCTTCAAAAATAATACCACTAAAGCAATTCGAAAATTCACTACAATCAAACAGAAACTTCCTAAATGTTAAATCTCGATTTTTGAAGTTATACTTCTTTTGGCGCGTTAGGGAAAAATGATGAGAGTAAATTTTTACGATGCGCGCGCACACCGTCACGAAAAACCGATACTATGAAGCATAGATAAGACATATATACTGAAAATTAGCTATGAAGTTACCTAGACATGTACGTATATTCGTATATTTATTAAAAATATCTCGTTATGATACATTTAAATGTTTTAGACTGTGCGATGTGCCACAGTTCAAATCAATATACTTATATTTAAATATAAAAAACACACTATGGTTTGACCGTTGTAATTAGTATGAGGGTCCGCAAAAATTGTTGATTAAAAAACTTGCAACGTGAACCTTGTTTATTTCAATTAACCTCACGGACCCAAAATACAACCGCTTTGAATTTGTACATGGTCCTTCGTTGCCGAATAGTCAGCCAGTGAGTAGAAGGCAGACATTCGACTCGCGCGCGAGTGTTGTGAGTGAAGTTTTTTTGGAAAACAGAACTTGCGGACGTTGGATCGACGTCGCAACCGCAAGTTCCAGGAGCCGATCGAGGCTTCGAAGAGCATCATCGGTCAGCTTCAGATTGTGTCTTCGGTGGAAGGCGCAGTTAGGTCACAGTGGGCGGTGCCTGCCTTTGGAGAAGAGGAAGTCTCTACAGTGTCGTGCTCTGAAGTATTAGAGCTAGCACTGCCATTACTACAATTATTATTATTGAATTTCATTAATTGTAATAGAAGATGTCGTTATTATATATTTGTGTTATTAATGGCTTATGGTAACTGAAATACGAAATATATTGTTTACATTTTAGAATTAGAATTAAAATAAACCCTTTGATTTTGCTGATCACTTCAATATAACATATATATATATATATTGTTATGAACACAAAAAGGATCTAGCGTCAACTATTAAAACCACAACAACAAGATGGCTCGTAACGCGAAAATGTTACACTAAATTTTTTTCCAACCCCGATAAAGAAGTTTCACTTCAAAAATTTTTTTCCAACCCCGATAAAGAAGTTTCACTTCAAAAATATATTTTACTTAATAATATAAAAATTATTTGAGCGAATTTAATATATATAAAAATTGTGGTTTTTAATAATGCGAAAATAGTTTAACTTTGTACGAACGATTATTAAAATTAATATATTTTTAAACGGTTGGTGCAACTGGCGTGGGGTCCTTCTGTTCGTTATGCTTAGGTTGTAATCTTGTAAGTACATGATGTCGCGGGAAAAACGATCGATAATTTATACAGTGTTGGTGTTGAAATTGTTGCGTGTGGCTGTTTTGTCTTGAGTTGCATTGAAATAATGTTAAATTAACAAGAACGGGACAGAACTTAAAAAAGATAACCATGTATCATTTAATATATCTACCGTTTTTGCTTACCGTTACCGCCGAATTTGTGTGGAAACATCACAACAATGAGGAACTACCCTTGGTTTTGGAAGAAATTCATGAAAAATGCCCAAACTTTACTAGAATTTATGCATTATCGGAACCATCAGTGCAAAATGTACCACTTTATGTAATTGAATTTTCTGAAAAGCCTGGATATCATCAACCCTGTAAGTAAGGCCCTTCATTCTTAAAAATAAATATTTACCAAGGTTCTGATATTTTCTGACCGTTCAAAAAATATTTATTTATAATATTATCATTTGTGTATACATCGGCTAAAAGCTTACGTAAAACTTATTGCAGATAAACCAGAAATGAAATACGTGGGCAATATTCATGGTAATGAAGTTCTTGGGCGAGAGTTACTCTTAGGCTTAGCCGATTATTTGTGCCAGCAATATTTAAAAAATAATCCTAAAATTAGGGCACTTATTAAGAGAAGTAGAATACACCTTTTGCCATCTATGAACCCTGATGGATGGCAGCTGTCTACAAGTTTTGTAAGTAAAAGTAATAAACTTTTACGAAAAACCCATAGCAATTTAATCTTACTTTTAAATCTACATATTTTTTTGTTTCAATAATTACATTGCGATTTTGTCTTATCAATATGTAGGGTGGACAAGACTATCTTATTGGACGCGGTAATAACCATTCTGTGGATCTTAATAGGAATTTTCCTGACTTGGATGCTATTACATTTGAGTTTGAACGTCTTGGTATCAATCATAACAGTCATTTGCTTAAGGATGTCACTCAGCTTGCTGCACCGGTAAGTGGTTTTCTTCAAATAAAAGTAATAGTACTATGGACTAAATTGCATTATTTTTAAATTTTTCTGTCGTGATAAAATGTCATAATTATATGTTTTTTAAATGTCACATGCCAGGCTATTCCAATAATATAATATAACACATGTAACAACTATTATTTCTCATTTTCTTAGTTCCAAGTGGCTTTTCTGTTTGAGTATAATTTTTTCTCTCCAATATATGGAGTAATACTTTCTCAGAACAGAAGAATTTCATCTAAGGGATAAAATAAAGCTGATGGGTAAATAAATAAATACTTTCACTCTTAGAATAATATAAAATGTAGCTCTAGTGCAACCATTTTTCTGTGTAAGTCCAATCCACATTATTATGTTATTATGACCTTTATTGAATTTCATGGATTTTTATTGCAATTAATTTATTTGAGCATGAATGCTGCACAGTATTAGAAACGTGAAACATTGAAAAATAGAGTTGTATTTGATAAAATATCTAAGTATAATTTCAATTAAGGTGACAAGTTCAACCAAAAAGATCACCTGGTGTTAAGTTATTTTTTTTATGTGAAGAGTTGCCAAACGCGCAGACGGTTCACCTGATGTTAAGTGAATACCGCCGCCCATGGACATCTGCTACATTCGAGGGTTCCAGATGTGTTGTCAACCTTTTGGAAATTGGGCTCCGGCCACCTTACTCACGCGAACGCCTACCCTTACACCTACGAAACGCGAAAGTATTATACTTCCACTTTACGCCGGTCTTCTGTGAGGTCGTGGTACTTACCCGGATGAGCCTGCCCATTCGTGCAACAGCCGAGGCTGCTGCGTGGCCCTACCACCGTTAAAAGTTATTACCGCATTTTATGCATATCTGCAATATCCGCGTGTGTGTGTTGCAATATCGCGGTTCCAGAACTTTTAGTAGGGGTCCATTTAGTTACGGTTATATTTGCGTATATAAGTGCACACAAGGTTTTCTTCTAAGTATTCCTTGCGTAGCTGGAACCCGAAACGAGGGCGGTGATGAGGTGGATTATGTCGATTCCGTTCGTGCTGAGCGCGGCGATGCATGGTGGCGATTTGGTTGCGAACTATCCATACGACGAAAGTAAAAGCGGCGCTTTGGCATCGGAGTACTCCGCTAGCCCGGACGATGATACCTTCAGGTAAGGTATTAAATGCTTCCATAAAGTTTTACATGTCCCAGCTATACTTATATTGTTCCCTATAGACCTAGATGTCACACACATACAAACAGTATTTAGCGGAATAATAACTGATTATTCTTTGACAATCACTGGTCGGTTCATCTTAGATAAAGTAAGTTTATGTCTTTGTGATTATTTGCGTCGGTTTACCGAAGCCGAATTTTAAATCGGGTAAGAAAAACGGTTTCACATTCATTTAGATTGGCACAACGAATAACGTGCCTTGATTCTGTAACTAATTAAGAATACTTTGTTAAATGATATACATATAAAATTTTAAATACATTATTACATGTGGACGTAGGTATGACGTAAACACTTAGTTTATTTTGAAATATTTTGCGCGTAAGTGAAGGATAATACATTTCTACGATAGGGAAACACTTGTCTTTTGTGATAACTCTTCCAGAGTAAAAATTTTGGTCATAGAGCAGCTTTATTAATTGCTGATTTTATAGTGATGACACATATTCAGCTAGCTAATTTTTGATAGCCTACTATATAGAAAATTGTATCTATCACCTATAGTAATATGGCATATTACGAACATACTTAATATTACACCTTTTTAGACATTTTCATAGTATTCTGTCCATACTGTAATCATGCATTGTAAATTTACTTTATGGCTGAATAGTCCGAATATAAACATTTTCTAATATACTTGAATTCGCTCAACGCCATGGTTAGAATTTCTTTTATTGTGCTACATGTAATAAAATAATTCGAAACATCCTTAAAATAAACAACATCGGCGTAAGTATCGTATTTGGAATTCCAACAGCAAAATCCGATGACATCATTATTTCTCATCTCGGTTATAATTATAACGGTATTTATTTATTATATGAGGGTTTCGGTTAATGGTATTTATTTATTATTGGTATTTCATAAGATACTGGCCAGTTTTCGACCGCTCTTCCACATGATGATAAGTGGCTATGACGATATTACGAAAACATATAACATAAAGTGGAAATATAATGACTTGTTTTTTTCCTAGTTATATTTACGAAAGATCGAAACGTTGGCCCTTCTTAAATATTGAATCACTTACACAACTTGTGTCAAAGTTTGTTCCAATATTTGGCGGCATTAGTTATTGTTTGATAGATTTTTTTTAAATTTCTTGTTCATTAGTTACTATTTATATCATATTTCCAACGTTCACGAGTGTTTAACAGACACGGAACTATAACGCTTGACATTTTAAAGTCTAGGCATTCATGCCCACATAATCTCATTTCACCATTTATGTTGTAATGATCTCTCAGGTTCCTTTATGGAGGTCAATTTCGCTTTAAACGGCTAAGCGAAAACAGATTATATAATCTTGAAGACATCATTCTTTTTCTGAAATCCTGTTGATCGGATATATCTCATGCAGTTTGTTTGCTACTACAATTAAATCAAAATGGGCTGAATATTTTGGTTTCCCAGTTACGGTTTCGTTTACTTTCTCTGTCACTGTCTAACTCGTTCTTTGTTGTTCTTTTCAGTATCTATCTTTGCTATTTTTTAAATTTCTTTTCTTTATCTCTTGTTTGACTTTATTTATCGATACATATTTGGCGTTGCATTGTCCAAAGGGTACGAAAGGAGAATTACAATTCATTGTCGCAGTAATCTGCACTGAATGTAAATGCGAATTGATCGACGATTATCCTTGGAGTGTACATAGCGATACCACGGTCGCTGCCTTTCGTTTTTAAATATGCGGGAAGTAAAAAAATTGTGACATGCCATGACGTCGGTAATGAAATTAGATATTATCCGGAACATATTGGCCCGTTTTTGATAACAATCTCACATAACAGTAGATGCATAATTTACTCTTCTTTTAAAGACACATTAGCGGAAAAAGTGACGTGGTAACTTATTTGACGTTGGCAAACGAACAGGCGGTTCCCTTGGTGTTAATTGAGTACCGCCGATATATACAACACCTGTGGCTTCGATCAATAGGAGATTGAATAGATCTTACTAAAGTGAGGTAACCAGGACCTGGTTACTTAGTTTTACTGGCAAATCATGCATCTCTTCCTGTGTGGCTGCCGTCCTTGTTATCTTCGATGTTGCACGAACGGGGTGATTCGTCCGGGTAAGTACCACGACCTCACAGAAGACCGGCTTTTAGTTGAAGTATTATATTTCTGCTTTTCGTCTGGTGAGTGAAATAGCCGGGGCCCACTTTATTAAAAGGTGGTAACGCAACCGCATCCCTACGGGTGTGGCAAATGTCCATGGGCGGTGGTTATATGACATTCGTGAACCGCCAGCTCGCGTGCCGCCTTCTCATATACAAAAACGAGCCTGCAAACGAGTTGTGCAACAGTAGCTGCGGCGTGGGCCTACCACAGTAACTGTCTACTCCCTAAACTTGTTCGCTCAAACATTGTAGTTATTCAAAAGGCCAGCGGAGGATCTAATCGTCTGATGATGAACAGGCGCGACGAAGAGTAAAGGCTCTCCTCGCAACAGATTCTATCGTTTCATGTATTGGATAGGTTTATAGAAGTACATCTTAAATCAGAATTATTATTAGTTATGTGTCGTGACTGATCGTACGTTTAAGTATGTTTATCAATCATCTAGTACCCATAGTATAAGCTTTGCTTAGTTTGGGACTAGATAACGTTGTGTAAAAATATGTCCCGAAATAAAGATTATTGATCTAAACGGAGGCCACTTTAAAAGGTTAGCAATGCTCTTACAACTGTTGGCGATCTTCTATTATATATAAAAAAAAATCTGCCATCCAACCTTGTGGTTAGGGCTGAAAACTCGCTATTCTTCTAATGGCTCCTAAAAAGTTCCAGAGATGTGATTAAGTTTTTTTCGCCTAAGCGATAAGCGCCTAGTATATAAACCTCTTTTAATTATGTACAAAGGCTTGCACCGAAGCCTGAGGATCTATTCAAGTTGTTTGCCACCCAATAGAGTGAGGCTATAAAACGACCCATTTAGGGAGCTGGCGATGGCGTATGCCAGCGCCCACGCCGACATGGCGTCCCCGCGCCGGCCGGGCTGCCACATCGGCCGCGACCAGTCCGCTTCCTACAATTTCGGCAAGCAGGGAGGCGTAACCAACGGCGCGGCGTGGTACAGTCTCAAGGGAGGTTCGTTACTCATCCATAATTAATACCTACTGTATATATGATAATAATTAATAAATATTAGGTACCGAGGAGTTATATATTTGCTTATTTTGTTAAAATAATTAATCATACATTAAACGTTTTATTTGATACATTAACATAACATCAAGACATAAAAAAATAAAACGCTTATTTTTTTTATTTTTTTAATCTGCGTTAAACTAATTTCCATGCTTTCTTCTGATTTCTTTGCAACTGTCGAATTATATTTAGTACATTTGAGTTCACTTACGAATTATGATTTAACACTATAACTTATCGATTCCGCCATTGGTCCTAAGAAGTCGCCTAGTTATATTAAGAAGTCTACACACATCTGAATCTTTTTGGCACATAAGTCGAATTGCGTTTAACCATTGCACGGATGCCGAACTAACCGTTATTGTTTTCCTCGGCGAAGCAGGAAGTTGGCAAGTGGGGAAAAGATTGGCCTGCCAACATAATTTGACATTTAAATTAAACCCGTTAACCGTGATGTGAACCGGTAACAACGCCCAGCTTAGTACTGTCCAATTTCTTTTCAAACACGTCTGTAATTACATTGGAATGGAGTTCTAAATACTTACGGAAATCATTTAAAGGATTCTTTTAAAAACAGTATAATGTCATATAAACTTTGTCATAGAGTGTATGGCATTCACATATTAAATAACTAAGAAGAGTAGGTCTAGTTTCTTTTAATTGTGTACGTTTGTTTGAACTCCTCAAAATATTAGAAACACAACAAGATAACCGATATCAGTAAGCTTTACTATTTCTATAGGCTTGAGTAAATTACACATCTTCTAACAGACTTCGTTTCTTGAATAAAAATTCGGTGTAAGACTTTGCCGTACAGAGTGCCAAACAAAAGACAAACGTCGACCGAAGCGTCTTTATTTGCAAAACAAAAGGTTTGTTACGCCATAATAATGGCCATTCTTGAATTGTGCTAAATGTTCTCAGTATAGCTTTGCGCCAAATTCTGGATTCATTATCGTATACCTAGTCCTCCATTTTGTTTTAGGGACATGAACGCATCTACGTGATAAACACAATTTTTTGTTACTCAAGCACCTCACTCGTCATTCCTTAACAAGGATTTGTTTTTACTTTTTGCATTTGTTAGTTTGCTTGTTTAGGTCAAAGGTGCAAAGCTGAATTAGAACCAGTTCCTTGAAACTGGCGACTTTGCAATTTTGTATGTTCACTTCCGATGACCGATGCACGAAAATGAAATTAATTTATTTAATTTTCGGCCCGATTTGAAAGTGACGACAAAAGCGTTAGAAAAATATTTCCAAGTAAACTGATGTTGACATGCGCGTCCCGAATTCCAAGAATACTTGAAAATAAACAAAAATTCAATGATGAATCCACTTGATTCGCACAATGATTTATTCGCATTAAGGACTCATTTTAGAAAAATATACAATTTTTCACATTTTAGACAAATTTAACATGACAAAATTTATTGCTATATAGTTATATAATGACTGGAAAAAATAAGTAGAAAAAAGTGGTATAAATGAAAGCTTGTGTTTAAAAATGTTTTTTTTAATATTGTTATCAATTTGGGCTAATCTTTTCTGAACGTAGAAGACCGGTTCACAAATTCAGACTTCCAGAGAAACTCACAGGTCACGTATGTAGCTCGTACGTGCAATGTACGCCCTAATTTTATTTGGAAAACCCAACCAAACAAAAGTAATTTTCAATCTGATGTATTACTAAAAATGTTAGACAATTTTTCTACATATTTAAGTTTATAGACTAAGAGACTAGCACTAATCTTTAGATTTATAACACTATGATTATTCGTGGCTACACGTTTAAGTTTCTAGTCTAAGAGATTAGGACTAATCTTCAGATGTATAACTGTACGATTATTCGTGGTCATCATGGTTTCCCTTAGGAATGCAAGACTTCAACTACTTGGCGACGAACGCCTTCGAGATCACACTCGAGTTGGGCTGCAAGAAGTATCCGCTTGAGAGCGAGCTGGAGAACGAATGGAACAGGAACAGGGAGGCGCTCTTGGCTTATCTGTGGAAGGGGCATACTGGCGTCAAGGGGCTGGTCAGAGACGAAACTGGCTACTTGGAGAACGCAATCATTTCGGTCGTCAACATCACGGGGCCCGTGCCGAAACCGATCCGCCATGACGTCACGACGGGTACGTATGTACGAGAGGTATTGCACATCGGATCGAATATGTGACGAGTGACATTAAAACGCGAAAAACAACGTATATATAAACAATACGTTGAGATTTTCGTCGGCGTGGCGATAAGCTGTTTAGCTTAACTGATAAATACGTGGGCTCGATTCCCGCTAATTTTCGTTCTAAGCGTCCTTAAATGTGATATAGGTCGCTAAAGTCCGAAGAAAGGTCTCGAAAGTCCGGTCCTTTACCGGATTGTACGTTATAGATTACGCGACCCGATTGTCGTTTAATTTGTTATGGAAATTATAAGTTTCTTTTCATGTTTTCAATATCGCTGCATTCCATTCTCCTAGATTACCACAAGTTAATAACACGACTGTAAGACGGTATGTTAGTGTACGCAAGAAATATTCCTTTTATAGGCATGAGGTATTTGATTAGTTTTCTCGTCCACTTGTTTTTTGTTGATTTCTACATGTTATGTGTTTTGTCACCGGCTATACGTAAGCCGGTCTATAAAAATTAATTGATGATTACATTGGAATGAAATATTTAAAAGTCAATATAATAAATTATTTAAATACACCGATGACCGTATTGGCTGGGATGTTGGATACACGATTCCAGGTTTTATTACATTCGAGTCTTTTTTTATCTTTATTTTCCATATTAACCATCTGCATCTAAATAAATAAATGTTCGAACACCCAAGGGTTGTGATATATGTTAGAATTGAAAAATGCATTGTATCTAAACATATCGCTCGCGAAGATATATTGAAGGCAATTTGCACTCTGTTTATTCAATTGCAACTTGTTAGATCAATAACAAACGGTTTCCGTTTTCTCACGAGCCGCGGCACCTCGTTGATATTCACAGTCTTAATTGTAATTGACATTTACAAAGATGTTCTTCGTCATATTGTTAAGATCTAAAAGTGAACTCTGTAAAATATATGAATGTACGAAATAAAATTAAATATGAACGAACATAGACACGAATAATTAAAGGAGACACATAACTTGCAGTTCTATCCAGCTTCACACGTATAATCGTTTAAAAATAATATCGTTTCACGGTTTACGATCATATCTTAGTATATACACATACTCCAACAATGCATCATATAATAAACTATATTGATTGAAGATTAAATTAACAATGACAAATGCTCTAACAACGCTAATGTATTCAAGACTAACGGCTGCCCGCGACTTTGTCTGCGTAGAAATAGGCTGAAAGCGTAACATTAAGACAGAAAGACAGATATACATACAACATGTATATAAATTATAACCTATGTCTTATTTTGATGTATGAGCTATATTATGGTAAAGTTTCATCAAAATCTATCCAGTAGTATTTGCGTGAAAGAGTAACAAACATTCATCCATACATACAAACGCATTTATAATATTAGTAAGGATAAGTAAGGATCATACTTATAGACCTTCAAGAAGAGAGCCTATTTTTACTTAAAAGGCGGTCAAAATATTTATTACTCCTCCAGTTTTGCAAATGGCCATTGGCGGTGATAATTTACCAGGCTTAGCCATCAGTTTTCTAGTTTTCTTCCTTTCTATAAAATAATAAATACATTTTTCTCATATTTGGTTCTGAGGAGTTCCTTGTATCTTGTATTAACTGATGTTTTTGCTTTCTGTCCCGAGACTATTAAAGCTTCATCGGACGCAGGAGGAGTTCCGTGATGTATCCCCGGAGTCCAAGTTCCAATACCATTGAAATTAAACCACACGGGAGCAAAGCCGAACTCGTTAAGGAAAAATTTATTATTTAACAAACAACAAATACAAAAAAAATACAGCCGAATTAAGAATTTTCTTTTTCTTATGCAGTTGGTGGAAAATTTGACTAATACATATTTCACTGGTAAAATAGATTTGTTTGTTTGTGCGTAATCGATTTTTCTCTGAAACAATTGAACTGTTTGATTGAACTTCATTTTTTTATAAAATTAAAAAAAAAAAGTAATAACAGACTTCTTCTTTCTCTTAGTTTCATTGGACATTTTCTAGTTGGAATATGAAGTGGACGATTGCTTAGCAACTGTCAAGCGTCGTTGATAAAATGCTTTTTCTATACATCAGCTGTTTCAGTATTTGTCATTTTTGATTTAATCTTCTGTTAGTATTATATAATAATTAATTAATGAGGCATTGTTACGGTATGCGATACGATCCCTAAACCGTGACACGATATTACTTTAAATCGATTATAAGTGTGAAGTTGGATCGATAAAAGTACTATTTTTTCATTAGTGCCGTTCTACTGCAATTCATGTCTGGTTGAAAAATATAATAATTACATGAAAGGTTCTGTCGTATTGTCAGGGACGTCGTATTGACATTCAATGTACGGACACGAGAGTTCACTTTTAGATACGTTAATGTCTTAATCGTTTCTTTTTCTAACGAATATTACATTAATAAATTAGACTAGATTAAAAATTAATTTAGATACCGCTATAACTCACGAATATACCATGCCATATGAATGGCAAACTTTTTACCACCTTTGTTCCATCTTCACACTATAACGAAGTTAGATGAAACTTAGAAATGAGCTTAAAAGCTGAATTTAAACAGTTTATTTTTATTTTAACAGATACAAAAAAAGGATTTTCTGAAATGAAAATCATAAATACAAAAAATAATTGATTAATAAATGTATTTATCTATTTTCTTCTGCAAATATAAGAAATGACGAGTAAAGATTCGTTTTGTTGTATACGAATTCGAGCGTAGTTCTAAGACGAACCCATTTTTCCTGGTATTAATTATTACATATTTTTAGTCCCACTTTATACTTGACAAAAGTTTTAACCGAAGTTTGAACAGTGTCTTAACAGATGAAACGGTGCTTTGTACAAATTTTAAACGGTGACATCATCTTGGACAACAAGGAAAGATCTATTTAATTGCGTCAATTAATTATCTTGTGCAGCGTGACCTATGTTGAAACGTAAAGATGATTATTAAATAAAGCCAACTGCTGTTTGATGCGTATTGTTCGTTTTTATCTTAAAAAAGTCCAAGATTGGCTCAATCTTGTTGGGTTTATATGTGGGTTAAATATTATAAATAATAGTTATGATTACTTCCATAGTTATTACCTTCGATTATCTTCGATAATCAGTAAAGAAATTGTGTAGGTACACATACATGGGTGTTGTTTGGTTTTATCTTTTTTTTTCCCAAGTTGAGTTAATTGTATTGGTATTTTAATAAGATATTTAGTATTTCATTAACTTTTCGTTACCCATTAAAATATTGATTTCGAATTTTTGCTTTAGTTATCAGATCGCATACTTTACCTATTGAGATTGGAATTTTAAAGAGGGGCTCTTTAAAATTCCAATTCTTAAATTAAATTCATCAAACTCATTAAATTCTTTAATGGTTTCCTTCGCTATAAAGGAATATTATTGCGAGTTTTTGTGATCAGCCATTTGAGCTGCGCGTCATCAGTCGGTGTGTTTCTCAATTCATTTACACAAAGGAAAGGTCCTGAGTTAATCGATCGCGTTGTCACCGTATCATGTGTAAAAATGTGGTTTTGCCTAACACCCCGTCCAGGAATGTACGGCGATTACTACCGCCTGCTGACCCCCGGTCAGTACGAGCTGACCGCGAGCCACGTGGGACACTATCCGGCGCAACGGCAGGTCACCGTGCCGAAGCGGCAGTACACTGCGCAGGTGGTGAATTTCAAACTGCAGGTATGTGTAACGGAGAAACATTGGGATGGTCTGTATGAAGAATGGTATGCCTGTGAAAGGGGCGAGTATTGAGATGACGGCTGAAGGAAGGTGGAAAGAAAGGAAGGAAAGAACATGGTGTGCCGACTCCAAGTAGAGGGGAGGGGTGGGGAGGTATGTATACATAATGTTTGAATAATCGAGGTTCCGGCCTGAGCATCGTTATGAGTGCCGCTTGATTATCAAAGTCATCGTTCACATAATTGAGGGTATCGTGTTTCTACTGTGAATTAACACCTCATGCTTGCTTTACTGTCCAAAGTTAGATGTTGGGGCGTAGACTTCGCCCGGTTTCTGAAACACTGATCATCGTAGATGTTAACTAATTAGATGTCAAATGGCTTTTCAAAAGTTCATTTGAGTTGCCAAAATGATGTTTAAACTCTCTGAATTGATCAGAATGATCTTGTTAATGATCAGAAACCGGGCGATAGTGTTTTCAATTATATTTATTTTATACTATTGTTTTGTGAACATGCTTAAAAGATCGTTAGATATGGTGTATTTTTTAGGCGACTTTTTCATTTGACAATACGAAAGTCTATGTCCCAAAATTAAGTTTGTTAGAAAATCTTTTATTAATTTTCAAATTTTCAGCTGTTATATTATTGAATCGCAACTGTAACTCAAACGATGTTGAAGTGTCCCATGGGCGGCGGTGATCGCTTACCATCAAGTGACCTTTCTCGATTGCCTTTTTCCGTAAAAAAAAAATTGATCCGAAATAAGTTGTTTATTATTAATGTTTATTATTATTAAAACGCTCTCGATATAAAGGTCCTGAAAATTCTGATCAGCGACGCCTTCTCTTTTTGTACATCAACATCTTGAGTAAAGAAGTGGAAGTATTTTTTCTAATTGAATGCTTGAGCTTCAAATTAAAGTAACATTACATTGATTGATTAATTAGAGCCAGAATTGTTTTTAATAAATATATATTGCAACTTCTATATTAACTAAAAAAGAAGTCTGTATTATTTAGCCGCGTTGTCAAGTAATACTCGAAAAGAGAGTCTTATTGTTCCATGCGGGAGATTTGATTAAGAGCTAAACCAGAACGTCCCGCCAAAATCGACAATGGCAACATACCACAGTTTGTCCTTTCGATCCAACGCGACGGGAAATAGTTTGAACCGCAAATAGATGATTGTTCCGGACGTAGGTGGTTACATGCAATTTGCGATCGTAAATCGCATGCGCTTTGACACGGGATTTGTTAACTCTACATACCAGGGATACATTAAATTTTTGTTAGAATTGGCTAGTTAGAAAACTTCTTTTATATTTTGAATATCTCAGATCCCTTTGTCAACCTAACGTAATATATTGCATTCAATTGTCATTTGTTTTAACGAATTGGCGGCAATTTAAAAAGTCTTGTTGTGTCTCAAAATGAATTTAACGCGTGAAACCACACCAGAGTGACCCACGTATTATTTCTCACAGATATTATTCATTTGTTGCTTCGCCGTATCTTCCACAGTTCTCTTCTTAACATTGAGTGTTTGTAAACCATTTTAAAACTTATTTTTGCAGCTATTGATGAAAGACAAATAGAATAAAGTTAATGATTTTATTTAAAAAAAAAAAAAAACGATTTTAAACCTTCTGATATAAAAATATATGATAATGCCGTCTATAAACAATTCGTTTAGGTGAAAGATAGCGAATTAGACTCTGCACGAATGAGGCTCATCCGGGAGTGTACCACGGCCTCTATAAAATAAAGGGACAATAATTTCCACCTAAAACGCAAATTTGGTTCTGATAGATTTACGAGTGGTTCTTTCTGCCTCCGATCTCATCACGGGAAGTTGCTGACCAGCAAATAGATGATTGGTCCGGACGTAGGTGGTTATATGCAATTGCGAACGTAAACCGCACGCACTATCGGACGCGACTTGTTATATCACGATTGGAGCGGCTCAACTGTAGAAACGAGACTTTCGAGTTCGGTGTTAGATAGAGCTTTATTGTCTTCGGGTATGAAAGTATTAATTATTTCAACATCAATGATGACACCGTGGCGCAGTTGCCAAGGTATTAATTGGCTTCGGTGCCCGGGGGTCGTGGGTTCGATTCCCACTCGGGGCAACTATTTGTGTGACCCACGGATAAATATTTCGGATCTGGGTGTTTGTCCACGTGGAATTTATGTTTGTAAAACGTACTTACAGCACAGGACGATGTTATCCTAAAGTGAAGGCAGTAATTAAAAAAAAACTTTCCGAATTATCGATTGCAATTTGATTTCTATTAGCAATTAACTACAATTTAATTCGTTTACTACAAGTAAGCAAGATCTTATTAGACTTATCATGTAAGTCTGTACTAATCACGATCGTCAATGAATAGGGTTAATGCTCGTTATGGATTAATTCAAATCTCAGAGTGCGGCATTAATACGAAAAGTAATGGATTATTTTTATTTATTTATTTAATCTAATCAGGATGTGGTGAGAGTTTATGGTAGGTGCAGCAAAAGATGCCAGAATAATAAAATTTTTATTAAAGAGAATATATATGAAAATAATATTATAATTGGATACAAATCATATATTAAATATATATATATATATATATATATATATATATATATATATATATATAAAAGATGTACGTATTTCATTTTCGTTTTATTCCACAAATTGGCCCTGTTTCATTTTTGTTATGATTTGTAAACTAATTAGTAAATGATGATTGTTACGATAATTACCCAGAACACAGACCTTTATGTTATTATATATCTTACTATGAATAAGTACTAAACTAAACATTCATTTACTCATATAATTTGGTTTAGATTCATAAATGTCGGTGCTCTATTGACTGTTGACTGCAGGATTTACCGCTTGCTTTTATACTTTATATATTATTTTGATCCGATTTTCTTGCGCAAGTAATTGAAACGTTCCGTCTTCAACGACCGTATCAGTGATAAAACAAGACCTTTGTCTTTAAAGTCCTTAGCGCCCATTAAAATCTATTCGCGTAACCGACAAAACCGAACGGCCTTGCGGCGTTCTCAAGTTTTATGTACTCCGATTCAGGACTTGGCTGCTTGCTCAATTAAAGCAATCGGCATACGTAACACGCCTCGACGTAACTCCGTGCATTCAAAATTTCCCATTTAATGATAATGCTTTCATTTGAGATGTTTTCGAAATAAAAATAATGCTCTCAAATGTAGCATGTTAATCAGTTTTCAATTATTTTTTATGATACACTAGCGATCCACCTCGGCTTCGCGTGGGAACAATGTATGTAAACCTTCCTCGCGAATCGCTCTACCTAGTAAAAAAAAACCGCATCAAGATTCCGTTGCGTAGTTTTAAAGATCTAAGCATACATAGGGACAGACAGACTTTGTTTTATACTATGTAGTGAAGTGTGACGGATCCCATGATCCCTTTCCTTATATCAGAAGTGGTCAAGTTTTAAGCATACGAACTTCTAATTTTAAAATGTGTCGCGAACGGTTTGTTATAGGCCTTGTCTAAGAGCTTAGGGTAAATACATATTAAGAATATACGCTGGTTAACAATAATATATGTATGAATACATACAGGACTGCAAATTGGTGATTTTTTTCCTATGGGTTTTACAGATAGCGCGTTTGTTCGGCCGGTCGATCGCGAACTATTTATACACGCAATAAACGATATACTATAGGCACTGGTTCACATTTATAATCGGAAATAATAAATAATGCCTTTGAAGTATTCACAATTATTGTTTGTGTTTTTATCGTTATTTTTGTAGTTATCAAAATATAATATAAATTTAAAATTTTTAGACAAATGGACGAATAATTTAAATTTCATCTTCAATGCAGAGAATCGCACTATATAAAAATAATATCATTTGAGAATATGTAATATTTTGTTTATCTATAGGTATCCTCCGATATACATATATTTCATTAGCATCCGAGTTATCTTAGAAAAGTTTTTTAATAAAATCTTCTGATATTGCTTCTTCCAAGAAACGTTTGATATTGCAAATTAGAAACGGCTGTCATAAAGTTTGAGTTCTGATAAGCAACTTTCCGCTTCCCAGCGAGATCGATTCAGCAACATGGACGTCAGAGCGTTTAACTCTGACGCCAGAGCGTTAAGCTCTGACGTCAGCGTTGTACGTATACTTAGGTTATACTACCCATTTAAAGGTTTCGTAGGCGTTCGTTTCATAGAGATCGTCATTGAAACTGATCACTGTCTGAAACTACTGCCAATAAAAGCGCGTTGAACTTCCCGGAACTGGCATAATTTCTATCCCTTTATATTTATATAATTCTTCTGTACGCGTATACACGCGTTTGGGACATACGTCACTTACTCCTCCCAAACGGCTGGACCGATTTTAATGAAAGTTTTTGTGTGGTTTCATGTCGTTTCTAGAAAGGTTTTTAGATTCACAAACTTATCGAAAAAGTTTGAAAATATTGGATTTAAGACATGTGTACAGGACAACGTCTGTCATATAGATATATATATATATAGTTACGACACAGTGCACATTACATGATTGAAAATGGTGAAATAATGTTTCCTCAATGTTAAAATAACGACGCATATATTGCCAAATGCTGAATATTGGTGGCCTTCATAAAAAGGATATCCTTTAACTGCTAATCCTTTTAATTGGCAATAACTATTATAAAGTTTAAAATGATCTACCGACCGCTTGACATGTGGTTAAACGGAAATTTTGAATTTATATTGAATATATAAGTGTTCTATTACGATTTCACGAAATAAGGCCCTTACTGTCTATAATTACTTAGTTTGTTAATAAAATTGTCCAGAAGAGATTAAGGTTTATTTTGTTTTCACATCAAGCTTTGCAAACGACATGTCAATTATTTTGATTCGCATAAGTTATCGTTAGGTCATATAAATAATTTTCGCTTAGCAACAGGTTAAACCCAGTCTTTTGATTATTCTTTGGTTAATACAGTTGAAATTTTTTTATAAATTTATATTATTTACTAGAAAATTGCATTTAATATATCGTTGCTTGAAGTGTACAACCTATTAGACCTATACATGCAACATGATATTTTTTTATTAAATATTTCTAGACAAATATTTGCACAATATTATACAGCCAAATAACTTACTAGTTAACTGATAAACATACTTTTATATTGCAAATAAATAAACTTAAAAAAAAAAACTTTAGATATATAAACACCCAGACACTAAAACACTATTGATCATCACAATATTTTTCCATCAGTGGGGATCGAACCCACATCCAATTGGTCTAAGATATAGGTGCACTAATCACTACGCCATCGTCATTTCGAAATTATGTTCACTTGAGATTGTATCCAATGTACTTTGTTCACCTACCTCATTGATATTACTGACCCAAGTACGTTATGAAACCAGTATTGTGTGCCAACATGATGGCATACTGATGTTTCTCAATTTAATCTTTCATTTAGAGAAAAGTCCCGGAATGTACATAATTGTAAAAAATTATTTTATAATAAATGTAACGCATGGATACCATTGTGTCTGACGAGTGTACGTACTTTAATATTGTATTGTTAGATGTTATATAAACAACTGTATAATTAATATTATAAGTAAATTAGTAGTATACTTAGAAGATATTATGTTGAAAATCGAGCGTGTCTCGCCATCAAACGTAGAAATTTGGCGAGAATAGCTATGTAAGCCTATTCTTTGTATATTTTTTGTGATTAATTAATAAATTAAAAAAAAATTAAAAAAACAAGGAAAATCATCTTCATATATTCGCACCTAAAATATTAAGAGAAGAGACGATATATAAGTTATAGGTATTTTTTGGCCTCGATTGATTGATTTTTTAAGAGGAACGATGACGCAATTTCTCTTGAGTTAGAAGACTTACTTTTATGTTAGTATATATTAGAACTGTATAGGCTATATAATTATAAATGAAATACTAATTTTACGGACTTATCGCGTTTATTTTTAATTTTAATTCCCGACGTTTCGAACCCTTTACAGCGTTCATGGTCACGGGACAGACTGAGGTGTTAGACGTACATAGCTATGTATAAGTAAATTACTTCAACGAGATGTTTCTGACATGTTTGCCACGATTAGCTAGAGGGATTGCTTAATTGCAGTTCTCTTGCATGCACAGTTATACACACCTTCATATTACATTGTATTATTATTCGATTAATTTACTTTACTTTTAAAGACTCGTTAACTACGATCTTATTTATCGCGTGGGTAGCACAAATTATACAAAAAAAAAAAAGCTTTTGCTCCAATCTCTACTAAATTTCACTGGGCTAAATCTATAAATTGTTGCCTCAAAATTTCATCGAAATCTTCCTAATCATTTTGGAGTCCATAGGAACAACACATACTGACATCCCTTTTTACTATATGTATAGATATAGAGTAGCCATGAACAAAGTCTATCTATACATTGCGTAATTTAACCATACGGACATACAAAATATGGAAACAAAATGTGGCTTCGTAAAAATTTACTGATCGTTTCCAATAATGTTCAGATGTTATTAAAACTTAAGTTTATAAATAATAACCGATCTTTAGCTAGTGGTTTTTTTGCATAACTAATTGGCAATTTAGATATATTTCATAAGACTAATGTGGCGTGACAGAAGTTAAATTTAATGTGTTCGGAAAAAGAAATTCAAGGTTATAATGAAGTCGGCCACCGTTATCTTTCTTTAGTCGATAAAAAAGTAAAGTAACAGCCTATAATTGTCCCACTGCTGGGCAAAGTCATCATCAACTGTCAGGGCATAGTCATAGACACCACACGACCCCATTGCGGATTTGCAGAATTCACATGTCTTCTAAATATTTTATTTAATTATTTCGAAAACATGCAGGTTTCCTTACGATGTTTTCCTTCAACAATGATCAAGTGATAAGTCAACACTTAAAATTAACAATTTCATTGGCGCTGGCAGGGGTCGAACTCAGGTTGCTCGAGTATATTAAATTAAAGGCGAGCGCTCGGACACTGAGCTATGGCTACTTTAGTCGATAATCCCTAAAAACTGCTAAGGTTAGGGTCTAAAAACTTTATAAGCAGAGTAATCCATGCCTTTATATTTATAGTATAAAGGTCGTTAAATCTTTGTTATGAAATCCAACAAAACTTCATGTAGTCTATGCTGAAACCGAAACATCCATCGTCAAAAATGAAAGCCACAACGGACCAGGGAGTTGTTAGTTTTTTGCATACCTTATAAAAATATACTTAACGGCATTTTGCAGTGGTAGGGTAATTCAGCAGCTTTGTTGTTGCACAAGGGGGCAGGCTCGGGAAGTACCACGACCTCACAGAAGAGCAGTTTTTTAGGTGTTGGTAAACTGAATTTAAAGCGGATCCAAGTCTGCTATTAGGCAAAGGCCTTCTCTGTACAGAGGGTTTTCGAGCGTAGTCTGCCACACGACCCCACTTCGGATTGACATGCTTGACGTATCTTCGAAATATTTTTTTTTCGTTATTATTTCGAAAATACGCTGGTTTCATCAAGTTTCTCTCCTTCAATATAAGTTATCACGTGCTCAGCGGTAAGCGGTTGTCAGCAAAACTGAAAATTTCATCGGTGCCGACACCGGTTTTCGAATTCAGGTTGCTCGAGTACATTCAATTAAAAGCCAGCGCCCGGACACTGAGCTAACACGGCTCGTGATGTGTTGTAAATGTCGCCAACCACTTAGGGTGCACCGTCTGCTCGCTTTCCAACTTCAAACATAAATAAATGGAGCGATGTATTGCTAATCATGTGACATTACTGTTTCAGCCCATACGATTTGATGACGGTCCACTGTTCCTGGATACGCCTTTCAACTACTACGCCCACTTCGTCGGCGACCAACCTCGCATCTACAAGAGATCGCTCTTTGAAAAGGTCGCTAATACCATGCTGGAGGCAAAGGACACTCCCAAAGAATAATCTCTGTAACCCGGCGCACGGTTTTAGGCATAATAACCATTACCATATAATTATTTAAGCCATACAATTTTCTACCGGCTGAAAAAGGTCGATCTACAAGTCTTTTGAAATTACATTTAATATGTATGTAATTTATAATGTTCGTATATAATGTAGAATATTCTTTAACTGCATATCGGAAACTTTTGACATTTATGTCTGTTATATTTCTATCTCTGTACAAAAGTTTTATGACTTATTGTTCTTATTTGTAGTTTATGTATTTACAAAATTTTAATGAAGAGTATTTGCCTATTATAATTTCTGTAAATAATTTAAAATGCAGAAATTCGAGTGCCATAAGTTAGTTTTCTCCTTAACAATTGTTAGACGATTTAAAATGTAACGCTGTATAAATGAAATGCTATTAATATTAATAAATAAGCATGTCTAGTCCAGAGACACACTATCTTTTTATTTATTTTTATATCATTATGCTGTAATCAGAGCGGCATTGACATTAAAAATAGATTGTCCGTTTACAAATTGCTATATAAACTGTACAGTTTTTTATTGCGAACATTGCGAGCCTTATGTTTTGTTTTGTGCAGAATAATTTTATACAGTCCATGAAATTCATTTATCAGTTGTTTTTGTATTGTTATTTTATTTAGAATATAGCAAAATATACCTAGAAAATACATATTTAACATGTTTAAAATTCTAAATATTTTTCATAATTATTTCATAGCGAAAATGAATACAGTATAGTAAATGACATGCTTATAGTGATAAGTTGAATTTGTTATCAATGCATTGTCGTTGCTAACCTATTGTACAATTAAGTGAGATTTCATCGCGGTGTTGCCGTTTGTAACTTTTATATAATATGAAAAACGTTAATACAATCTTAAGTTATTCTTTTATTTACATATTTAAGGCCAGAAATATTTTATTAAAATTCATTTTTTACTTTGTGTTTTCAATGGCTTTAGCAATTACTTTTAAAATACAAATAATGAATAATGTTTAACTTTTCAATATAATATAAGTTCGCTTTTAAAATGTGAAGGAAATATATTATTAAAATAAAACTATGTTTTTTCAAACTTTACTTCCCCTAAATATAAAATTAATTATATAGACAATTTGTGGTAATAAGTAGAGTAAAGTCACACTCTGTCATCCACATAATCCCAAAAAACGGGTTGAATATAAATATCTATATGTAAGTGTGTAAATTTAAATAAGTCCCAATAAATACTTTGTCTTGCATTATTTTATCTCAACAATAGAGAGAGAATAACTGTCACTACATTATTGGATTCCATTCCTTTCTTGGTATTTTTTTCCCGTTGATTACTCTCTTGGAATGGAATCACGTTCTTTGATTTATTTTATTGGTTTTTCACATATGGTACAGAATACATCCTGCATAGTTTTAAATTTATTTCAACTTTTTTGTTATATAAATGAAGTAAATAGAAATAATCATATTGGAACTGTTTTATCATGCATTATAATTTACTTTTAAAGCCTGGTGAATCAAATTTTAACATTGTTCACCTTGAATGAAAATTCTTTTCAGGAATAAATTCTAATTTTTAGCTTATTACTAAAAAAAAGTGCTTAAAAATAAGGCTTCCGTTAAAATCTTAATAAAAGAATTTAAGTCTTATAAAGAATATTACTGATTTTAGTGCGCAAAAAAGAATTGTGTTAAAAAGTGCAATAGAAATATCAATATAATTGCCGCTGCTAGGACTCGAACCTGCGCTTTTCCTTACGCACTTAAATAATATAAAAAAAATCCGATAATTAAGCCCTAAACACAAATAAAAACAACATTTTGTAATGAATACATATTTTTTTATAATAAGAACTATGTTGCAGTTGTGTTCTTAAAGAAACCTTATCAGGTTTCGAGACGATGTTAATCATACAGAAGCAGCTCGATTCACACAAATTGCGTTGTTAAATTTTAGGCAAAAAGGGCATTGTAATTTGCGTCGCTTTTATATTTTAATAGATGCTAAGGCGACTTTGACCTTCGACGCGGTGCAAGCAATTTATTAACATTAAAAGTACGCGAAAAACTTCAACTTTTAAAAGAAATTACCAAATATTTTGAATTTATTTAGATAAAAATTAATGATTTTAAAAGTTCTCTTGGAATATTTTTGTTAGATTTTACCAAAAATTGTAAAAGAAACTTGTAAAAGAAATTACCAAATATTTTGAATTTATTTAGGTAAAAATTAATGATTTTAAAAGTTCTCTTGGAATATTTTCGTTAGAATTTAAATAAATCAACTTTATTTCAGCAATTTTAAAGAGTTAAAATCCTTAATATAAGTATACATAATATATATAAGATTTCGAATGAATTTAAAAGAGACAAAACATACTGTTAGAAGGAGAGGCTTGTAATACGACGCTGTGGCGCGAGTTGTATAGGATGTTATAAATTTTGTTTCTTTTTTACTTAATTAGTTTGTTTGAAAAATATTTTATATTAATTATAGATTTTGTTTAACGTTTCTTTTGTATGATTATTGGCAAGTAGCGTTAGACGTGTGTTCATTTATTGTCGCGATGGTAACGACACGCTGTATAAAGGTAGCAAAGTATTTCCAAACCTTCGCGTATTGCATATGTCCATGGGCGGCGGTTATCACTTAACATCAGGTGAACAGCAAGCTAGTGTGCCACTTTCTCACATAAAAAAAAACATTGGTAGTACATTCAAAAGTTTCAGAGGAGCATTTGTTTAGTAAAGTAAGAAAGTCGAAAAATTGTTAAATGGTTTTATTTAAACCGTCACATTCAATTTTAATACAAATTATACTACATAATTACAGTTTGAAGTTATAATATTCCTTATATTTAATTAACTATAAATACAATATATGCTATGACTGTTATGTATACTTTGTGTCGTGAAAGTTAAATGGGTCCTATATTTGAGCACTTAAATAAGCTTAAAATTTTTAAGTAAGCTGAATGTGTATTAGAACAAAGTATATATTCATAAATATTATTTGATATTCTTAAAAATTGATAAAATAAACAATAACAATTTATAGAAACAAAAACTTGTGGCTTCTATGCGAACTGTAAAACGTTTATTGTACTTTTTATATCGAAATTCAGAAATTTTCGGTTTAAAGATTTGAAAAGAAAGATTAAACGTTTGAGTTAATTTAGCACACGTATATCGTTATTTTTATAATCTATATAGTTGACAAAAACGTATAATTTTTAATAAACCTATTTAATTTGAATGGATTTTCTACATAATTTTGCGTATCACAATCTACAGTAAAGACAGGCTAAAGTTATTAAGTATGTTTTCAATAGACACATTATTTTAACTTATAAAAGTTCTTAAAAATGTTTGCGAATAGTGATATTAACATGAATAATGATACGGATCAAATTAATTATTCTTTCTACTTGTAACTCCAGAAAAATCTTTGACCTGAAAGGTATAAAGTCGAACTTAATTCAAATTACGTTAATATATCACCTTCAAAATATTACTTACACATTATTTTATAATACTTTATTCTAATCATCATATATAGCATGACCAGGAATATAATAAACCGAAACTTTTTTATTTTCCTGGTCAGGGTATAATATTTACTTAGTAATAATTATTAATACACTATTCGGACGGATTCGTTGCATTTATAAGGCATAATATCTTTTACATTTTTATATTTCGTGTAATTTGACATTGTTGTAAAGCGCGTTACTATATTTGTATAACGGGCCGTCCATTGACCTGATATTTTTTTTTACAATTTTTTAATTCTTGGTTCCTTCCCCTTGGTGATACGATTAACTTACCATTTGAGAAAGTGAGAAACAAGAATGTGTTAAGAGAAATGGCACGACTCTAAACTCATCAGAAATATTTAAAACCTTTCATTGTTTGAACTTTTTGATAGATTTATTAAGTACCTCTTTACAGTTTATGATGTATTAAAGCAGTTAAAAAGCATCAAACCCTGTTCTAAAAATAAAGTACTTTTAACATTTTACTAAAATGCCAAAAAATGTGCTATCATAACACATTGTGCATGAAATTAAAACAGTTCTTCTTCGGAAAAATATTGTTCGGCGCCAACAGTTTTTAGCACATCTGAAAATAGGAATGTTATTTTTGTAATTGATTATTATATTTTTAGAGAAACAACTTATTTTTATTCAAGGGATATCTCCTTTGGCTTTTGCCTGGGCTTATTGGGAAGCCTGGGAAAGGCATCCTCATAGAAGACTGGCGAGAATTAAAGTTGTTTATCAATTTGGTGATTGCGGTTGAGATTGGGAGAACGAAGATAATGGTAACAGCTACTCAAAGGGTGTTGACTGTTTCCATGGGTGGCAGTAATTACTTATCATCTGGTGAACTGAGTGCTCATTTGCCACTTAATTCTCATGATTATACATTAAGATGCACTGTGTTACCTGTTAATGTCTATTTCTGTGCATGCCAGAGTGCCTGCTGCCCGGTCTTGATTGAACTATAGCGTAATGGTCGCTGTTGTCTGATACAGACCTGAAATAAAAAGTAGAAATTTAAATTGTTTATAGTGCTAATCTTTGCACTTAAGATTGAACATTAAAATATGTAGAAAAAGTGCGAAAAGATTGTCGCCGCTGTGGGAATCGAACCCACGTCTTCGGCATTCGCGGCCTGACGCTCTAGCCACTGAGCTAAACGGCTGTTTAGCTCAATGGCTAGAGCGTCAGGCGGCTAGAGCGTCAGGCCGTGGGTTCGATTCCCACAGCGGCGACAATCTTTTCGCACGTTTTCTTCATATTTTAATAAAAAGTAGATGTACAAGATGCAATTAAGCAAAATCTCAAGTTTTCCCCTGCTGCCAGAATAAAAATTAGCTACAATTTTTTCATTTTTATTCAACAATATATCTACCTATGTTTTAAATTTTATTTAAAGCGCAGGGAGTAACACTAAAAATACGTCAATGGCGACATCTATCTAGTTTCATAGTTATTGTACAATGTCATTTAAGAAAATGTAAACGTAGTGATTACATTCTCTTTGAGTGTTTGCTGTTAAGGAAGTACACTCGATTTATGTATTGGATAATATCGCCCGAATAAGCTGATATTTAATATGAGTTTACATATAAAACTAACAGTATTTGTTTTATATACATTTATCAAAATCTTACCTTGCCGAATGGATGGTAGAAGATGGGTAGCGGCTACCATATTGGCTTCCGTGCCAGCTACGATAGGGATCGTAATCTTCTACAACGGATGGGTCTTTCTCGATCACCTGTAATTATGATATCAGTTAGTGTTAAATGTGATTTTTAACTAACTTGCCAAGTACTATTTCCTTCTAGCACTTAAAATATTAAAGTTAAATTTTCAGTCTGGAGACTGTATAAAGCTTTGTCGGTAGCAGAATCTATGAAAAGGCGAATCTGATAGAATCTACTAGGAGATATGCATGTAGACATGTGTGCAATAAAAAGAGCTACGCGGGCTACGGGCCGTCCGAGTTCAGTCCAAGAGCAGGCCGTTTCGGCAACGGCCGACGTTTCTCTGTACTAGTCGTTAGCCAGAAGCGGTGAGAAGTGAGAACTTGGTACCTTGTGTAACTTATTTCTGTCAACCTCGTCGGCGAAGAACGTTTTTCATGTAATCCAAACGAGATAGACGAAGTAATGATTTCCACGTTCTAATTTTAGGCAGAACTTGACACCGATCAAGTGTGAGACACGGATTAACAATTATTACTTTGTTTTATGTGAGAAGATGGCAAACAAGCTGGTGGTTCACCTGATATTAAGTGATAATCGCCGCCCATGGACATTTGCAAAAGCCGTGGGGTTGCAAATGTACCTTTTAATAAAGTGAGCCCTGGGGATATCACTCATCGGGAGAAACGGGGAACTAGAACGGGATAACTAGACTTCAGTCAGTTTTCTCTTCTTCAGTCTTCGGCTACTTCCCCGCACGAACCTGCCATTCGCGTAACTGCGAAGACTGCTGCGTCGGCTGCTCTGTTGATTGTTCCGCTTTAATTTTGAATGACAGTCAAACTACACGAAAACTTACATCAGTCCGAGCACACGAACACGTCATAGCGGTACAGAGGAAGCAATTGATGAGGAGCATCACTAGGAACATGACACCGAGTGCGATGGCGAGGTAAAGTAGCCACAAGGGACGCACGTTGCCCTCAGCACACGCAAGAGCGGCCACTGCGGAAAATGTACAGATTTGTTTAATCATTTGTTGTGTGACATTATGACTGGATGTGGATGTAGATGTCGTCAGTGCTCCTTGGTTCGTGATGATTATTCCAAAGATTTTTTGATGTGAACCGTGATATTGACGAACGTCGGCTGAGTGATTCGTTGGCTGGTAGCGGTGAGGACTGTACAAATGTGTATCCACAGATAATTGTGTCGCATCTGGGTGTTTGTCCACGTGACTTTTATGCATGTAAAACACACCACAGAATAATGTTAATGATAAAAAGGTAAAAATGCTTACCTACAGTAAGTGAAATTTTTCTTTTTCGAAATGAAAATGCTTACGATTTTTTATTAATTGACCTACATAAAATAATTTCAGTGTTGAAAAATCTGATTTAAAAAACGTACTGATTGAATATTATTGTATTATTATATTACCACATAGATAATTTCTAGATTGCACGCACTGGCAGTGCGTGCATCTAGAAATTAGAAAAATCTAGAAATTAGAAAAAATATCAAAATATTAATCGCTATACAGGTCGACGTTTTCATTGCTAATGCAACATTGCACCGATTGTAGTTGCTTGTAGTGCTATAGACATTACGTGCACTTTAAAAGACAAAAACAAAATTTTCTTGTACGAATTTGTCGAGGTTGATTAGTTCGTGTAACATTTCTATCACCCTATTCGATGAATTCTAAAAGATCAACATTTCCAAGTTGATCTTGTAGGATTTATCACTTTATTATGAAAGTTTTTAAATATTCCCGTTTAAAACTTGTTTCGTATTATTATCATAACCATATAACGATTTGTTTAGTGTTTGTGATTTGAGTGTGTTTATGATTTCGTTTAGTTGTTAGTTGTTTGTGTGAGGATTACCGTTGCTATCGTTAGGATCGAGGACGAACACGCTGGTGGAGGCTGTGAAGCTGCCCTCTTCATCACCGGCTTCGGAACTGCCGTCGCTTGTACAATCGACCACAGCGCAACTGCCTGGAAGAGTCAAGAGTTTTCTTATTTACCAAAACATATAATTAGACGTTAATTAACTGCAAATTGTTGACCAATTGCCAGAAAAATCTGACCTTTTGCATAATTGTTGCAACAATGCTTTATGCCTTTAAAAGCAGTTCATCCGATCAAGTTTAGGTGCTATTATGTTGGACGGTTGCTTATGCGTTGCCACCATTAAATAAATATATTATAAATTACCTGGACGGACCTGCCCATTCGTGCAACAGTGAACATTGTTGCATGGCCCTACCACAGAGAAAAATGGTGGCGACCGCAGGATAGAAATGACGATAAATTTAGTTATTGTTGTATTAAATAAATCTATTTATACGATTTTATCATGATTAATTTAAATTTTAGAAGTTTCAAAAACTTCATAGTTTAACGACCACACAGATAATTCTATAAGGAATAAATGATATATAAAAAAATGTACCCACTTAAAATTTCGGTAGTCGTTACCTTTGCAGACACCGATATCACACTGGAAGTTGACTTGTGACGAGTCGGGAAAGCGGAACATCGAGGCAATTGACAATTCCGCCACACCATTTTCATTTTTGACCGCTACCGAACTTTGTTTTATCGGACACCTGAAACCATGAAAATTGTAATGTAATGTTTTAAAACTGAGATCGATATTGTTTATAAAAAGGCTCAAGGAAATAGTTTAATAATAAATTGCAGTTAAATTATCAGAACATGGTCAGAAACGAAGAAAGATATTAAAAACAAATAACTTATGTTTATTCGTGTTTTATAACTTTGCTTGAGGTTTTATTTTAAAATTCTAGTTGTTTCGTAATAAAATGAATGTATGTATATACATACATGTATATTTTATAAAGCATTTAAATGTGAATTATTGGAGAGATGAAACTGTCAAAAATTTTACTTAGAGATTTTTTTGTTCTAAGATCAGCTCAAATTCAATGAGCAAGTGAGTCTGGGCGTGGACTCGGAAGATGCAGTTTCGAATCCCGCAGACACGAAAACTTTTGACAATTTATATACAAAAAAAATCACATTTAAATTTCACTTGAGTTTGAGTTTCACCTAACATTAAAAAATAAAATGAATTATAAAATAATTGTATTATAACGATATTTCGCTCACCCCATTTGGTCTAAAAGCTCTACAGTGTTGTTCCGCATGTTAAATGCGAAGCAATTTTTCATTCTGATGCCGTGCAGCCCTGTAAAGTGCATACATAAATCTTGAGCAAAGCTTTTACGTCGCGCCTGTAATCCCGTTGTGGATGGCGAAATATAACTTATGTTATTGAATTACGAAAACGTCTGCTCCTTTTTGTTTGTATTTTCATCAAAAACATTTACACGTGTATGATACATATAAGTGCTATGGTAAGTGGGGTAACCAGGGCCCAAAATTAAAGTGCAACGACAATTAAGACAGATGTCCATGGAAGGTACACTGTCTGTTACATACTACCTTTGTTTTACATAAGTCGTTATAATGAAGCCCAAATGGAAGACCACTTTCGGGGAAGTACCACGCTCTCACAGAACACAGTCGTGAAGTGGAAGTATTATACACTCTCTTCGTCTGGTGAATGAGGTAAACAAAGGCCAGTTTTGTAAAGGTTGTTAACGCATCTGCAATCCATCAGGTGTCTATAGGCTGTAATCACATGATATTAGGTGAACCGCCTTCTCGCTTGACAACTAGCACTTTTTAAAAAAATGGAGGTAGGAGGGACTTAAAAAAATTCCAATTTGATTTATAAAATATTGCATTAATTACCATCTGATTTGCTTATTTCCGCTCGGAGTGTATAATGCAATCCGAAGGCGGCGTTGAACACCTTGCGCCCGTTATCGTCCAACATCCGAAGCGATACTGTCGAAGTCTCATTTCTACAAAAATAAATAAAACTTGATTTCTTTTATTTATGCCAATACTAGATGAAACAAAACTATTTTATTTTTCATTTCATATTATCGCTTCCAACAAAATTTATAATGTTATCTTATTTGTCAATAAAGAAACTGAATAAAGATTTGCGTCCCTTTTCGGCCTGTTTCAATATTCAATCTACAGACAGATAGATTTGGTTACTGGAGATATAATTATGTAATTATTATGGAACTAAATGTGAAATACCTACCGCAATTAACCAAATCGATCTGTAGATAGAATGTTGAAACCGGTCGTTAGTTGTGTATATCGTCAATGAGTTGAGAGTGTTTTACTTTAATAGACACATGGTCATATAATACCAACGGCCACATGGAATTTTTTTAATAAGAATATATTAATTTATATAAATAAGTATTTAGAAAAATGTAATTTTTTAAAAAATCATCGTTCGTTCACTGTACCTGGAATTTTTGAAGCCCGTCTTTCCGCATGTGATGACGTAGAATTTGTCATCCGCCAACTCCAGTGTTCGGTGCACACGAACAGCCAAAGGCAGCGATCGTTCATCTGTACGCTAATAAAATAAACGTTTCTTTGTTTCGTTCGTTCTTCGAAAGTATCTGTGTTTAAATTAAACTGATTATTTACCCAACAAAATAGACCATTTAGAATATTTCTAAACATTAGTTTATTAAAACATTATCTAACAAACGTCGCGGATTGGTAAAAAGAATTCTTGTTATCATTTCTTTAGGTCGCTGAATATCCTCGCTGAAGGGTTATTGTCAAGGTTTGACCGAGAAACGACACCGTCAACAATAAGTTGAGGCTAAGATAAGATATTAATGATCAAAAATAAAAATAGAAACATATGTTGAATAAACTTACGTTGTTCCAGAAGACACCGCAATAGTCCGGTGAGCCGGGCGTGGCCATAAGACTTATGTCAAAGTTCAGAGACTCGCTACCGTTACCCATTGCCATGCACGCCGGCGTCCTGCGAGATAAAACTTCTGTCGTAACGCTTAAATGTAAATCCGTTTTAGGATATAATTTCTGCGTAATAAGTTATGAACACGAAGCACATCCAGACTCGGAACAAATATGTAGAGGATACAAATATTTTCGTCCCGTGTGGGCTCCAACCCACAACACAGTTAGCAGTCGACAAGTTGACCTTCTAAACTATTACACAATCAGCGTATTCTGAAGCATAGAACCAAAAAGAGTTAGATTGGAGATTTATAAATGCTAAATTAAAGGGAGTCGTGCCTAAGAACAGAAATTAATTAGAACAGTTACGGTGGTAGCCACGCAGCAGCCTCGGCTGTTGCACGAATGGGCAGGCCCGTTCGGGTAAGTACCACGACCTCACAGAAGACCGGCGTAAAGTGGATATAATACTTTCGCGTTTCGTCTGGTGAGTCAGGTGGCCGGAGCCCAATTTTCAAAAGGTTGCCAACGCACCTGCAACCCTCGGGTGTAGCAGTTGTCTATGGGCGGCGGTATTCACTTAACATCAAGTGAACCGTCTGCTCGCTTGACAACTTTTCACATAAAAAAAATTAAATTAGATGCTTTTTGTTTTCATTCTTTGTCAGGACTATATGCTTATATATATGTACGAGTATATATATTTTATATATTAACATTTTTCCACCAAGCTTATTGAGCCGTAAATGTGATACAGGCGCGTGGGTGAGCTAGTGGAAAAACCTAAAGACGAAGCCTGTTAACGTCCAAAGTATTACCGTAAAAACAAGAAAACCTTACATTGAAAAACTATATTAATTAGTGCTTGCCCTTGGGATATAAACAGGTGGGTGGGTTAGGTAACGAACGGTTTAAGAAATATACTCATGAGTGTTTTATGATTGCTTTCAACAGACAAATGGTTACAACTTAATCAGAAGCTTTTATTTACCGGAACGGATCATCCATTCACGTGTCAACGCTCTATGGTATGTCGTACCTTCACCGTTGCTACACGTGAAAAGAAAAAAAGAAACGTGTTTGATGTAACTTTGCGCTACTCAAAAATATAAGCAGTCATGAAATGTGTAAGTTTTGATTTCAAACAAAAGAAGGTCACTATATACTTTAGTTATTTATTTTTGTAGGTCATTATTTTTTTAGAACGAGTGTCGTTGGTGATTGTTTTACCTCGGAATGAATAAAACAAACGTTTTTATTTTTGGAGTCGATTTCTAGCTAATAATGTAGAGCGCCTATCATTACGGCTACAAAAATATCAGCCGGAAAAATGAGTTCAGATTGCAAAACTAAAATTAATCATACCTGAATTCTCGGGCGTGGGCAATCCCATTAAACGGTTGGTTGAATTCGATATTGATTGACATGACTCCGGTCTTGCATGTTGCCTTCACCGCTGGTGAAAACTCACCGCTGCTTTCTGTATTCTGCAATTAACATAATACATTATTTAATTTACGACCGATGCATAAATTCAAGGTAGGTATGTACCAAAACACAAGGTTTATAACGAAATTCTACATATATTATTAAGCCATGTTAGTTTCATAAGGTCAAGCCTCTAAGAGTATGTCTATTCTTTTATGTCTTTTAATTATCATCATCATCATTTCAGCCTGTTCCACTGTTCACTGCTGACCTTTAACGCTGCTCTCCGTTATTGGCATAGATATTTCGGGTCTGGAGTGTCGAGATGGTTATTCCGCCATTTACCGGAGGCCACCGGATGTTTGTGGCTTGTCCTTTAGTCGCCTCTTACGATACCCACCGGATGAGATGGGGTGGCTTATTCTTATGCCGACACAACACGGCAAATGACTTTCACACAATGATATTATATATACAAATATGAGCTAGATATAACATTAGCGTCACCGAAACTGAGGCCCTCAAATTACACCAATTGGTGTATTAGGTTGCAATTCTATAGACTGCTATCTCTTTCCGTATCGATACGGAAAGAGATAGCAGTCTATAGACGGTGGTAGGGCCACGCAGCAGCCTCGGCTTTTGCACGAATGGACAGGCCCGTCGGGGTAAGTACCACGACCTCACAGAAGACCAGCGTAAAGTGGAAGTATGACAAATACTTTCGCGTTTCGTCTGGTGAGTGAGGTACCCAGAGCCCAATTTTCAAAAGGTTGTCAACGTATCTTTAACCCTTGAGTGTGGCAGATGTCCATGGGCGGCGGTATTCACTTAACATCAGGTGAACCGCCTGCTCGTTTGACAACTTTTCGCATAAAAAGAAAACGTTCTACATCATCTGGCAAATTCACTCAAATATGTAATATAATTTAAAGCGGACCAATTTTAAACGTCCGGTATTATGGACATGCGTCATCTAATTATTAAACATCATTGCTTTCAAGTTGATGTAGATGAAAATGCAATTTATATTTGAAACATAAACTTAAGCATAAATTGATTTACAATTCTGAATCAATTTAAAAGCAATTAACAATGATTGAAACAATTAACACTGAGTGAAATAATAGACTTATATTTTTGTGTGATAATAAAATCAATCATTTAGAACAAGTTATAATAAGTTAATAATATGCCCTTCAAAACATTCAATGTTGTCGACGTTATATTAAAAAATTTGGCAGAGCGTATTAACGTAAGTGATCATTTAACTTTTTGTATTTCTTTTTTTGTTTGGGATATACTTAAAGTAAAAACAAATAATTAATGTCGGATGTTTTCAACAGAAGGAGATTTAGTTGCTGTATTTTTAAATATTTCGTCAGCAATAAAATTCATTACGTCCGTACATTGCCTTTCATTCGGTGATACTGATATATTTATTTATATAAACGTTATCTTAGCTAGTCTGCAATGCGGTAATAACAAGCTTGTTTTCTGAATTTTGATTTAGCACGTTTTTTATTAAAAAAAATATAATTGAAAGCGATATGAAGCAACAATATTAAAGTTTGCTAACTGAATTTAATAACATAACATATAATACACAAACAACTATCTCAACGTTAAGTAACTATAAATGAAACTATTTTATTACGGATTTATCGCGTTTATTTTTTATTTTAATTTCCTACGTTTCGAACCCTTTACAGCGTTCATGGTCACGGGACAGACCTCGTTTGAATGTCTCGTCTTGTAAAAAAACATTTATAATGTGTAGTCGCGTAAATACAAGAAGTTAAGGAACTACACATTTAAGTCTGTTAATCCCGACTAGTATTCTTGAACAATTGATATACAATAGTCGTCGTGGAAATATGTTTTTATTTAATGTTTCTAAATTTTAATTTAAAATGATCTAAAATTCATTAATGTAACGGAATTGAAATAGAAAAAGAGAATGTACCCGTTTTACGAAATGTAGAATACGTTTTACGAATGTAGTAAAGAGTTGAATTTATGGTTGAATTTATTCATTGCTGAATACAGTTGCATATTTCATTTTGAAAAGAAAAAAGTAAAATTCATTTTTGAATTTATTGCCATTATTATGTATGCTTCTTCGTGATAAGAGACTTGAGGTCCTAAGGTTTTGCCCTTGCGGCGCTGGCCGATGCACGATTACGTCACGAGCAATTGCAATAGTTTCTATCACCGTAGCAATTTTGAACGTCTCATATATTATGTACTTCAGTTATGCTAATTGTATATTACGTGACATTACTTATTTCTATAAAATTGTATCAATGATTCATTGAAAAAATAATGCATATGAGGTGAAGTTTCAAAAATCCAAGTGCTTCGTTTAAAAAACATTTTAATGTACAGATTCGGATAGGAGCAATATGTCCTATGTTTTTAAGGGCCTGATTGAATGGGAAGGATCTAGAAGCGTACAGTTTGTTGTTCCAAAGATGCTGTCTTGACATAGGGCTGAGGTCAATGGACGGGTGGCCGGTGGAACGCGGGTCAACTGAACACCGATCACTTGGTTGTTCGTTGCCAAACGCGGCGCGTCTGGGCTGCGAAGTTTCTACTTTAAAGAGGAGATCAAACTCAGTTTCATTTAGGTCATCATGCCGCATAGCCTACTCATTTCCCGCACTATACACAACGTCATTCGATTTTTGAATATGAGTCATAAATTTATTTAAAAATGAATCAGTTATCTCCCCCTCCCCCCTAGCCGACATATGTGTGGGTATCTGTGTATATTTGGGTGCTAAAAGTAAAATAAAAAAGAAGTGCGTGAATGCCGTGGAACACTCGATTGGAACGAATTATAAACGTATTATATTTCCAATAAGAAAATATTTTATTCCCTGTGTCAAGACTCTTGTTTGTGAAACAGAAATTAAATGCAATCGATATGAAACGGTTTAATTAAATAACTTGGCTTTTTAGGTAAATGATAAAAAGTTGTTATTGGCTGCCATGAGGAACTTCTTTCCAAAATTCTATATGTATAAGGATGTGAGTAAAAAATTAAAGAAAACTGTTTTGTTAAATATGGGTCTACTGTTGTACGTACTACTCCCACTAGGCACAGCGTGTCCTATAGGGAAGGATTTATGTAATTTATATTATTTAAGCGTTCATTGTCCGATTAATTTTTATAAATCAACTTAATATGAATAAACTTCAAAAAAAAAATTATTCATATTAAGTTTAGTAAAAAAATTAAATTTTTGGTGATGAATTGAAACCTTTAGGATCAAGTCTCTAGGTCTGGGTTAACAGTTTTCATTTAAATATTAACTCAGATATTATATCTTAAAGGCCGAGTAAACTCTTAGCCTGAACATGAATTCTTCATACCAACAAGGTTCCACAGATGCAACTCGTATCAACTGTCTTTGAAATGGAATAATGTAAGGTTCAATCGAAGATGCAAAAGGTTTTATTGATCAAATTAGTTTATAAACCTAGTTAGTTTTACATATAAACGCATGTTCCCAATACAAGTAATTCCGAGTCCTCACATTGCTCGTTAAAATAAATCTTAACGAAAAATTTGATTCGATATTTGATCGTTACAACAAAGAATTGAGTAATTGTAAATCCAAGCCGGATTTTAAAATAATAATATTCTTTTGCATCATATAAATATTTTTTTATATATATTATCAAATTTATCTATATGCCACACGGTAAAAAAAAAATAATTGAATAATATACGTGTATAAAGTTCAAGATTCAAGTTGCGTGAACCACTTCAAAAGAAGCTCAGCTTTAGGTACTAAGTTATTTGAAATAATTTGTTAACAATACTTACTATCGCAGCAATACATTTCTTATTCCGTATGCTAAAATACCGAATCACTGAGCTGAGTGAACTAAATTATTGATCAAAACAATGTTTTAACGATTCGTTTTGTGGACTGTCAATTATCTGGGTATGTAGGGGATTAAAGTCACTGATAATCTAATAGAGAACCTGTCAACGGAACAATAGAATTCGCTAAGTCAGTTTGAAGGCCACCGCTTTAAATTTTGCAATCGAAACCGGCACCGCAATACTATAATCTCAGTTTTAGGTTTGAGTTAAATTTACTAATAGTTTGAAAATATGTCCACAAAAATAAAAAATCTTTGACATATATGACATATAACAATTTTGAATGTTACATATTATATTTAGCTGGTTCTATATGAATCGTTTTGAAAATCCATAGTTTTGAAATGATTAAGTTACCTAACAATTACGTATATTTGGGGGTATACAACATCTTTAGAATGTAATCTAATGGCTCGCAGTACGGATACTGACTATTTCTAAAGTTTCAAAAAAAAAAATAATTTAATCTTTTGGAAAACCTAAAACCGAGTATGAAAAATAATAATAAATATTTTATGATTAATAATGTTTATATATAAAATATTTGGTCAATTTCGTTAGAAATGAACTAAATATTGTTTATTTGTTTTTAATTTATTGTACTGTACCACCACTGAACTGGTTTATTTTTTTTTTCATTATAATCTGAAATAAAGAGCGATGAAAATAAAAATAAGTGACCCTAGCGGTAAAACGTTGGAAATAGTGACGACATTTCTGCTGTGTCATCGCGATTTGATTACCGGTATGTCTTAATACCTTTAAAAGTTGGGTCACTATAACTTGAAAACTGGTAACACCAACATAACTGTCCATTTCTTATTGACTTGCAATGTGTATACAGTTCTAGAACGATCTAACTATTCGGTTAGTTGCGGAACGTAAGTTGGCACAAAGCGGTATGGAACTCCAATATTCCGTACCGTTTCCTCAAGTTTAGGGGCATATGCGTGCGATCCGATTCTTTTTTTTTACATTACTCCTGCAAATATTTTTAAAACGTTATGACAATTTCATATTTCTAATTGTAATCTTAATCAAACTGAAATTAAAAGCTAAGAATCAAAAATGTGTCGTAGATATAATTAAGTAGAATATATATATATATTATAATATATTTAATTATACACATATAAATGCAAATTTCAAAATGTACTCATA